TGAACCTTCACAAAGGTCCTTACGGCAATGCTTTGTGATGCCAAAGATGTTGCCACCGCTCCCGAAATTGCTGGTGGCTTAAGATGCCCTCACGAATGGCCCGATGTTGTTACGATCAGAGCCGAATTTGAACATTTCCTTAATCGTGTGTCCATCGGGTGTCAATTTCGGGACAGTGTGACAGGGGCTTTAGAGATTGCATTTAAATCCAATATACGCACCTAATGGTTCATTAAGTCATTTCCACTGGCGTCACACTTCTGATAATCAGTAAACCATCACCTTTTTCATAGATTAATTTGCTTTACACCTCACTGGGCAGAAATGAGCCTCAGTAAAGTCGTAAAACTTGAAATTGGTTCAATAAAGTTTTGGAAGAAACAAGGAAAGAGATAAAGATGGTCATAATTGACTTATCTGTGTGTTTATTTCAGATTGGAATCATTGAGGGATATGTGAAAATGTTTACCGACCAACGCATCAAAACATTTGTGAAAGGAGGAGTTACAAATCCAAGGTTTTTTCTCTCAAAATGACACAAATAATCATTTCTGATGCTGTTTGGTGGTGATCACAGACACAGGCATTACAAGTAATCCTCTGTATTCGTTCAAACCCTCACTGCCGATGTACAAATGAAATACTTACAAGGACAGAATTGTCTCTAAGCTCAATTTTGAAGGAAAGATGGGATCTAGTTTGAGTATTAATGTGATGGTGTATTGATTTCTGAGGTAAGATTTTCTTGAGCTTGCTTCTCTGCAACAGGGGTCAGAGGTCAGGGCCAGTTTGAGTCGAGAGATGTTTGCCAATGCAGAGCCTGAACTGGATTTGTTTGGATTATTACAGCAGAGATCAAGAGCCTAAGCAAAGAAGTACTTCTACAGCAACATTGACTAAGTCTTAAAAATGAAATTCACATGTTTATATGTTTATACTTTATTCAACACAGGGGGAAATAAGGGTCTTTTGATAGTTAAACCATTTTACAACAACATAAATAAATACATATACATGAGAAATGTAAGTAAAATGTGCAATAACAGTGTTATCATCCAGCCTCAGTTGTATTCTGAGTTAAGCGATAATCAGTTTACGTTAGCATGCAAGCAAAACTAACACTGAGCATGCTAAACATAATTCTGTAATACCTAATATTATCCCTTTTTATGTATATTCTCTCTCGACAGGGGCTGTTTTCATCTGACTTCTCTTCTGGCATGTTTTTCGATTTTTCGACCAAGTTATTTCCATCACCCTTGCCCAGCATGCACATGGTAAGTATCCCAGATTATCTATTCCTCCTCAAAGAACACGGGGGATGCTGTACGTAGCTCTACTTTGACCAAGTGCTGGGGAAAACAATTTCCCTCCTTCTTCAAGAATTCACCTTTTTCTTCAGAGCCCCAAGACAGTTCAGTCGGTGTTTCTCAAACTTACACGTCTATAACTGAACTGTAGCTACAGTCAGTGAATCTCCAACCAGGAGGGATATACAACTTGAGTGAAGGCTGATGCTCACCTTCAGGTTCTTGTAGACAGGTGAACAGGAGGAAAAGTCTGGAGTCAAGAGAGGTTCCTGCACTCGGGTGATTTAGTTGCAATAAAATGTATTCATGACTCATGGTTTCGATTCCTTAGACCTTCATTTGGTGAGGCCGCTTGGGATATAATAGCTAGTTAATAGAAGAAAAATGAAGTACTCAGTAAAATGGCTAGTAATTAGCCAGAGGGAGCAAATATTGAGCTGCCACATAATGAAGGTGTCTAACATCCATCACTTTCAAATATTAGTTCTATAGTTTCTTAGCTTTAGGAAACATCGAAATAAATTGATTTTGTTAGAGTTAGGTTACAGACACGTACGAACTTTCACAAGCTTCACAAAAACATATTGACATGAGCTGAACACTTTAATTCAAAATGTGTAATGTTCACTGGTTTTAAAATTAAAGGTGCCATTTCACAAATTGAAGAACTGTTATTGTGAGTAGATAAGAAAATATATATCTGTGGATTATTTTACATTTCCCTAGGAATAACTCCCACTAATCGACCTCATTGCACAGAGATCTCTGACTACAGTTATGTAATAAAAGCTAACATCCGGAGCAGAATTGAGCTCATTCATTACTTTGCTTGAGTCAGCAGCGAAACTGTTTAAATTATATTCTCTCTGCAGCAATAACTTTTGACTTTTCAGTGTTTTTCTCCATATGTTCGCCACAATTGCTAACAGAAGCTCACATATCCATCTCTCCAGAGGGGCCTTGAGGAATCAGGAAATGAGACATTTTCACATCCTCAGTAGCAGATTGGTTACTTTGCCTAGCAATGACATGCTGAGGATGAGTCACATTGAGATCCAATACAAAGCATTGCCCTAATCATCCATCGAATGTAAATGTGCGTACATTTCTTATTTTAATCTGATTGTTTCATATAACCCCTGAAGCCCTGACGTTTACTATCTTTGAAACAACTGGAGAAAATTATCTACAGTAATATAAAAAAAATCTATCGTCTTCTTAAATAGGACAAGATATAAACCGGACAAAAGTAATTAAAACAATCCTGGCTTTCAGTTGAAATCAATCACCTTTACACAGACATTTCCACTTACAAATAAAGTATACAGTAAACAATGTAAGCCTTGTATTTTTTGTACATTTGCTGTACTTCTTTGGGTCCGACAAAACCACTGCTGTATGTCTACAATATATAGATGTGGGTCTTTTTCTGATGACAAAAGCCCACATGAAAATGTATGAGTAAATCCTTATTTTGACACAAACTGACTTGCAACCAAATGTGGCGATAAAGCATGTTATTACAGCAAAAAAGCATGAAATGTTGGTTATGCAATAACAATATTGGTTGTATTTGTTGATCTACAGTATTTGTATCTTGTCTTTATTTATTTTAGTGCCAACAGCCTATATATATTAACCTGTTAAGCCCCAAGGTCAGGGCATCTTAATATTTAAGAACCTATTAATGTGTTATACCAGATTAACGGACATAATCTCAGCTAACTGACAATACAAACAATTTAAAACAAAACACAAGTCTCATAAGAAGCATCTAAATGACCCCTTAGCGAAAAATGCTAACGGACTTTGGAACAGAACTCAAGCTAAAAGTACCCTTATTACTTATCGTAGCTGCACATACAAGATATCCGATTAAAGCTGAGGTTCCACAGATTATTTAGGTATTATATCATCACTGAGTGATCCGAACTAGCGACAGGCATCACAACACGTACCTTTACGGAGCTTTTACGGGAGATCGTCTCACCGTAGCTGTTAATCTGATCAAAAGATGTGTTCAATGGCATTAAAACGAGAAAAAAACGCGGCTGAATCGGTTGATCCATAGGTTGATAATGTGTCTTTGTAATAATCTTTTTCATTTATAATCCGAGAGCAAAAGTTAGCTGCTAATGGTAGCCACCAGAGTTATCGCAGCTTCCGGTCTTGGCTATGCGGCAGTCTAAAACACACACATTACCAAATAAGGACTATGTGGGAGTTCCCCTCGATTCCATTGGCTCTGAGGGTTAGAAAGAGATGTCACATGTCAAAATCCAGCAAGGGGGGCCAGATATATGGAAAATCCACCCAAATGGCCCCAGAAGAGTTTTTTTTTTGCTAAATCTATCTAAAAAGGTCAAATATAACTTGTTTTGCATCAATCCTGATACAGGGTACTTATTATGTGTTGTATTTTGGATTCCTAAAGCTTTTAGTCTACTAACCCATCATCCAAGGTTAGTTTTCACTAAGTACAAAATATTTTTTGGACGGGCACCATCATTTACAGTTTTTTACCATGTTCAATCTGAATTTTCTTTAAAATAAAAAAACATCTATATTGATTCTGACTTTTCTACATCCAACTCACAGGTTTATCATTACTTTGAAAATGTTTTTATTAATTTAACCCTTTTAGAAGGGAAGATATGGTCATTTGTTCTGGGAATGTCATTTTCGAGCCTGAAACCTGAAAAACAGGCTCGGGGCTTAACAGGTTAAGCCTATGGATACCATTGCTTATAGCTGAAGCCTATTCAACCTTTAGCAGAAGTATGTTGTTGTCTTAGACTTCAAGCGAATAAAGCAGTATGTTCTCGAGGGGTCACAGCATCACAGTGAGACAGATGCACCTCACACAGTTGTGCAATCTGTCGTCCAACAAACTTCACTGACTAAAATAATACTCAGTCAACAGCCTGTGATGCCAGTATTGTTGTGTGATAAAGAAGAGCTTCTTCTTTCCTGGCAGCCATACTGCAGGGGATCCTTTGGGAAGGAGATCTATAAATCAGACTGTGGGGCTAGATTGTGTAAAGCAGCATTGTTCACAGGTAATTAAAGCTATTTTCTATCCAACAAAATGTACGTGTTCAATAAAAGCTGTTATCAAGTGAATTAATAGGCAATGTAAAAAAAGAACAGCAGCATTCTGAGAGCTGCGTCCCAACTTTTTGTCATTTAGTTGGTTGTTTGAAAACTGCCGGCACTGGACCTTAGTCATCCTTTTCCTCTCCTGACCCTCTCTGAAAATGAAGTATGGTGCACAGTGAATAACCCCAGCTTAATGTAACCAGATGCATGTCCTTCCTCCTGCATCCCCTCCCCTCTGTTTCCCCCTCAGCTGCTCCAATGTCTGTTTACACTGAGTGACATTTAGCTAATTGGCCAAATCCCCTTAAAATATGAAAGACAAACAAATACAATTGATGCATTTTTTATTTCTTGACAAGGATGTGTTAATGATGAACAGTTTTGGACATAAGATTGTAGGCTGTTTGGCTGCCTGCAGGTTATTGTCATCGCTCTGTCATCTCATATTTTGTGTGTGTGCGCGCGCTCGTCTGTGGTGTGTCTGTGTGTGTGTGTGTGTGTGTGTGTGTGTGTGTGTGTGTGTGTGTGTGTGTGTGTGTGTGTGTGTGTGTGTGTGTCTGACTGACTGACTGACTGCGCGCCGCCTCTCATTCAGTGCGTGTGCATGAGTGTCCGCAAAGCCGCTGCTGCTCCTCTCCAGGCGCGCGTAGCGCATAACCATCCACAAACTTTGATGAGCCGTATCCTCCACCAAGGCAACAAAACAACCTAGGCTGAATACGTTTTTGAATTATTTTATATTCTGTTTCCGACAATCCGGGACGACCACGGTGAGTAACCTGCGAGCTTTGAATTACAGTGATCTTTTTCCTGAAAAGCTCCTGTTTGTTTTGCATGATTAGTAGTAAGTAAGTAGCTTGAGTGAAGGTGAAAGGCTGTCGTGCTTTTAAAGAAACGTTATGATTTCTTTTTTTATTCTAATCAGGATAAAAGTTATTTGTTTCCTTTATTATTATGTGCAGCTAGTGTAACCCCGTTGTTGAGCGCGATATCATTGTTGCCCTATGAGCATGTTTTCCAATCGAAAGTCTTATTTTGAAGCTTTTTTCTAAAACAATAAAGGTGTCGAGATGGAAAGCACTCCTGTTGAAATATTCAAAGAAGAGAATAAGTGCCTCTCCACGCTGCTGGACGACTGTCCGGTGAATTCTTCAGCCTGGGTGTCCGGATACTCCGAGAGCCGCAATGTGACCCGCAATGATAGCTGGGAGGCGGAACACATGTCCCCCATAATCCCCATCATCACTGCGGTCTACTCCTTGGTGTTTGTGGTCAGCTTGTTGGGCAACTGCCTGGTCATGTATGTGATCATCAGGTAAGAACGTTTTAAAGTAAAATCCATACAATAAATATATCTCACAATACGTTTATAGAATATTAAATTAGGAACATTAAGGTTACTTAGAGCTGTATTTTATACCTACATGATATTTGACAGGGACTTTTATTCTGGCACATACAAGAAGCTTAATTATGCCATGTGTTTTTGGAAAATACTGAAAACAACAGAGGTCCATGCTAAATAATGTGTTCCTCTGCAGTCACTGTAAACTTTATTACTTGTGGAGAAGGCACTGGCACCAACCCTTGGGCTTTCACAATGACCTCAAGGACATCTGGTCTTTGTCATCGTTCTATTAAGTGCCATGATTCTAAAGGTACTCTGCTAAAAGCCCATTTATACAGCTCATCCAAAGGGCTAGAATTTAATGTGCACGTTAAATGGCTATGATCTAACTCATTTACATATGCATATGCTTGTAAGGTAAAAACAGAAGCTGTATGTTGTCAAAGAAAGGTTAAGACAAATTCTGTCATTCAAATGTGGAACGCAATATAAATGATTGTGCCTCCTTCCAACCGACCCATTTTATGAATCTGCAGTATCAACCATCAAGCTGTAAAATACAACAACATTCTGTCAAATGTTCCCAGTCTTGTGGATATGATACTAACCATAGTTGAAATCTGTGGTGCTTTATCAGGCCGATAGCTTGCTCGCACCTCATTGGTTGTTATTTATTGTTTATGGGAGCCAACCAATCTCCACTGATGTAATGTGAAATGCAGTAGTGGCACCCAGAATGCTCTGTCGGTAGACAACAATTACCTCAAATCAGATTGATTGCAGCGCATGCCAAGTTTATCACTTTCAGTTACAGAAAGGACTGTACGTTTCTACGGTTGAGTTGCTCCGTGGAGGACGATGAAGCGGCAGTAAAAAGGTTTTATGTTGATTTAGTGTAAACAACATCTGGAATTGCCCTCATTTAAACACTCACAACGCCAACAGGCCGAATGTTACGTAAACGTTGAGCAATAAGCCATAAGTAGAAGTACTTGACAAGACAGTGCACCCTTTTATGGCTTTAAATGGTAGTGTTAAAGCATCTAATCAATAATTTTGCAAGAAAATGTTTAAAAAACAACTAGCCTTCAAATTAAAGGGGTTACGTTGGAGTGCTTTTCAGCTCATTGTTTTTGTTTATGTTGTGTTACCCCTCACACCTCTATTCAGTGTTGTTTCCAGTCACAGAATATATTCGCATTGGGAAGTTGATTTGCTGAAAAAAACCATATAATTCAACTTTCCCAGTATTTAGTTTTTTTTTTTTTTAAAGTACGTCGTCTACCCTGCAAATCATCATTAATGGCTTCATTCAAGGACTTTATCAATGGATACAAATACTTTAAGTCTGATTTTGAGTAAACATGCTGTATGTAATAACTCAATTAACATAAATAAAACGTGTATGTAGGCCATTCAAAAATCACCATGCATTAGAAAATGCAATTGTGAAGGACCTTATTTTAATCTCAATGAGTCATTGTATCCATAGGCACCACCACGATTACAAAATTGAAGCTTAAACAGTCATACTGCTTTAATGCTATCATTATTAAATGAACTGAAAACAAGTTGACCATAAATGACCTGCGAGCAGCACACTATACACAACAATAAAGTGTGAGTCAGAAAAATTACATTACGGATTCATAGAAGCATTGTGGACTAATGAACGATGTTTAATTCATAACAAGCCAAGAAGGCTAGCCATGTATTCAGTGGAAGGTACACTCTGGTCATCATAGGACAACCTTGTGCTCTGCATTTTTACAGGTACACGAAGATGAAGACAGCGACCAACATTTACATTTTCAATCTAGCTCTGGCTGATGCCCTCATCACCACCACCATGCCCTTCCAGAGCACGGACTACCTGTTGAACACCTGGCCCTTTGGTGAGGTGGTTTGCAAAGTGTTCATCTCCATCGACTACTACAACATGTTCATCAGTATCTTCACCCTCACCATGATGAGTGTGGATCGCTACGTGGCTGTGTGCCACCCTGTGAAAGCTCTGGATTTCCGCACTCCAATCAAAGCCAAGATGATCAACGTGTGCATCTGGATCTTGTCCTCAGCTGCGGGGATACCTGCTTTTATCCTCGGTGGCACCCAGACCAAGAGTGGTGAGGAAGTGCTTTCACGCACACTGAATAATAATAACTGACTTAATTAAAAAATGTAAATAAAATGTAAAGGGCGGTAATATATTCTATCCATTTGGCAGTGAAGAGTTTTCCATTAGCCACACATCATGCCTCGCACTTCCTGAAAAGAAAAAAAGTAGGGCTGAGTGCAAGATGTTCCCATATGCGTGAAGATTAGCATAACCGCTAATAGCAGGCAGAGTGGAATTTTATTTATGGTTAAGAGTCATTTCATTGCTTAATTCATATCTTCTCCTTCCCTTTTTCTTGCAGGAATAACTGAGTGTGCCTTGCAGTTCCCAGAGCCGTACGTGTACTGGGACACACTGATGAAGATCTGTGTGTTTGTCTTTGCTTTCGTGGTGCCTGTGCTCATCATCACTGTGTGCTACTCCCTCATGGTCCTGAGGCTGAAGAGCGTCCGAATGTTGTCCGGCTCCAGGGAGAAAGATCGCAACCTGCGGAGGATCACGCGTCTGGTGGTGGTCGTGGTGGCTGTGTTCGTGGTCTGCTGGACGCCCATTCACATTTTCGTCTTGGTTAAGGCGCTGGTGGGCGTACCTGAGACCACCGCCATCATGGCCGCCTACTTCTTCTGTGTGGCTCTGGGCTACACTAACAGCAGCCTGAACCCTGTCCTGTATGCCTTTCTAGATGAGAACTTTAAACGCTGCTTCAAAGACTTCTGCCTTTCGGCCAAACTGAAGGGGGAGAAGGCATCGGGGAGCAAGAAGATTGCAAGCAGCGTTCGGGAGGCCGCTGTTCCGTTGGAGAACACCGATGGGACTAGAAAGCCGGCATGACTAGCCGTGGAACTGTCTTCAATTTCCCACATCGGAAAAGAAGACTCACATGACCTTGGCATAACCCATGTCACATCAGCCATGTAGTTTTGACTTTTTTTTCATCATCACTTGGACATTGACCAGTGCCAATATTCATATGATATAACTTCAGAAAGCAATGGAAGGTTTTACATGATAAATTGTACTCCATTTTGATTTGATGTACCCTCATGAGAGTTGTTACATAGATTGTTCACTTAGTATCACACAGTATCAGAAACTAATACTTTAAATATTGCTGTGAATGGGCATCCCCAAATCATATGGCACATCCTGAAAAATATTGCATGTAGCCAGCATTTATTTCTCATTTAATGGACAAATCAGAAAAAAGACTGTAACAACATTGGCTCCTTGACATCAGTGTTTTAATGTTTTATGATCATTAAGTCACATTTTGTTTATGCGTTTCTCAAATTCAATCTATTTCTATCATTCCCTCCTATGTTTCTATAGCCAAATGTGCCTTTAATAGTCCAGGATAACACGGTTGTAGCGGCGATAAATTATTTTAGTAATGATAACTGAATGGGGTCAAACAGCCACTGCTTTTAAAGAAATGCAGTTAACATGTTAGCTTCATGAATCACTGACAGCAGATATGTGTCAAAATCCTTTTCACCTCTGTGAAATGTTCTGAATGACCACAATGTGAAAGAATTGATTCATGTTGGACTTTGAAGTCACTGGGAGGTAAACAAAAACCTCTGCCGCATCAAAGCAGCAGAGGTTTTATCGACGAATAAAGTTTGAAATCCTGGACTTGAATGTGCTTTTAAAATTGGACAGAGGGCTCTCTATCAGCTTTCACTCTGGTGTTGTTTCCAGATTGATAAGCTGTTTGATGTATGGTATATAGTCATGTGTGCTTTGTGTGGCTTTTACCATGACAACCTCAATAGTAATGTTCTCATCAATCTAACAACATAGCTGTTCAAACACGTTTTTCTCTTATAAGCTGTACATACATTATGTTGTATGGATAACAAAAGAGCTTTGCACAGACTAAATGAAGAAATACTGTATTTGTGGAATGTCAATGATCATTGCTATGATAGTATAAAGCAACATCTGCAGCCTGTGCTTGACGCCTGTGCCAAGCTGTCCTTTTGAATGTGCTGCAAATATACTCTGTATTATATAAACATAATGATTACTCATGGTATTAAGTCATCTATCTCATTAGAGGTCAGTAAGTATTAATGGATTTCAGTGATGCACTTAACTCCCATTCTGTGTCATTCTTATGTCCATAATCCAGAGCTTTATTGGTTTGTTAACAAATGTTTATGTATGACGGCATTACATTAGATAAAGCACAGAAGTTCTGTTTTTTGACAACTTAATAAGAGACATTATTATAAGAAACTCCACTGTGACCAAAACATCATTTGTTTTCTTTTCATTCTCTGTGCTTACTGTTTAAATTAGCTGCTGCTGTATATTGGCATGGTCATCTGTCATCCATCAGAAGACACATTGATCAAATCGTTCTGTGTGTGACTTGCTCAATATTAAATTAAGTTTAAAAAACCCACATTGATTCTTTTTTCTTGTCAGTTTTCATTTGTGAAGTCTTGGTAGTGGGTGACACTCTCCCTAGAGGCTGCTGGAACGTCCATCTATGTTTGCATTGAATCATTTATTTGAATACCTTATACAAAAACGAACATGAAGAGCAGTTTTTACCTTTTATTTTTTCCTTACAGAGTTTCAGTGTGAGGTCGACGATCCTCCTGCAGGTGTAGATTCGGGGTTTTACTGTATGACCACAGCTCCCTCCAGAGGATACAACATGCCATTATTAAAGTGTAGAGTAATCAATAGAAACTAATTATGCTCTGATTGATAGTTTCATACACAGAACAATTATAATTGTGTTATAAAAGTGCTATTAACAAACCAGCTTCTCTTTGCAATGTGTACATTATTGATGGCCCCATGATGTGCTGTTTTGTGAGCACATTTTTAGACCTATGCAACATTCAAGCACAACAAAACCTGAAATATGGAATGTTTTTCCTTAAAAACCTTATTTGGAGTTTCTATATTGTTCTTTATTTAAATTGTCACCTTTCTTTGTTGTTACATACTTCATTCAGGTGCAGTGGAAGGGGAAAAAGTCATTGAAACCCCATCCCTATGTGTTATTGTATATTTAAGATTGAGTGTTTAGATATCTTTAAATATCACATTATGTTGTAAATGCCCAAAAATATATAAGTTACACAATATTGTTTAGGGACAAACATACATAACAAATCATCTAAACATGAACAAAAGACAAACTGCTGTTTGTAGGGTGTGACTGAGATCTATACATCAATGGACTGAATGAGCAATGATCATGTGACTTCTCTGACGTCATCCCACAGTCTCTTCCGGGTGTTTTGGTGTTTTCCCTCAGCTGGACGTCGGACGGTGACAGCGAGCTAACGAAGATAAAAGCCTTAATTTTTTGCCAAAATGAACCGACTTTTTGGAAGAGGAACACCCAAGGGTCCACCACCGAACCTTACGGACTGCATAGGGAGTGTAAGTATAATCCAGAAATAACTTTATTGACGCTGTCTCGAACAAAGTAAACAAAGATGGTTCCCCTCTCGGCTGGCTAAGCTAACTGCTAGCTCACTTTTATGAGCAGTAAACAGGCCTAAGTGTGCCATATGTACTGCCATTATGTCATTATAAACGAGCCTAATGGTTAATAGTTGTTGCTTTACTGATGAAAGTAAGTATAATCCCACTTGGCGTGTATTCCCACACACAATGTGTGGCTAGTATCGGTCGATAAACAAGGGTTTTAAACGAAACAATCGATGTATCTGTTAACGCAATGTATCAGAATATTGTATTCTGAGCAGGAATTTGAGCCATATAAGTGGCACTCTCCCGAAACCATGTCTCTCTCTGAATGAAATGGCTGACATCAACCAGTTGTACAGGTTATATGTCTGGGCAGAGCTATTTTTAGCCAATAGAAGGTAAATGGGTTTGCTGGTTATCACTCTATCAGCCTCAATTCAGCTTCTGTGTAGTGCACTTAATGTAAAAGCCCTCTTTCCAATGTAACAGTTAGTTAGACCTGGCTATTGGCTTTTAAGATTAGCATCCTGTCATTCATTAAAAGTGGATGTACTTATCATGTGTTTTATTATTTGAAGGTTGATTCTCGGACGGAGTCCACTGACAAGAAGATTGCCAGACTAGATGCTGAGTTAGTGAAGTACAAGGACCAGATGAAGAAGATGAGAGACGGGCCCTCAAAGGTAAGATTCATTTCCCAATGATGCTGTAACACAAAAAGTCTTTAGCATGTTGACAGCTAGGACCAAATTCTATTCTAATTTTTGTATAAAGTGAGCATTCACACACATGTATTCCTATATTTGTGTTTTTCTTATAACAGACATATGCTACGAAAGGCAGAGCTCAAAACCTGTGTGTACATGGACAGTTGGCTATTATAAAAGACACTATTTTGATGCTGTACTGTATGGATCACTGAATACAGATCTTGTATTTTTATAACATTATATTTGGCTGACGCTTTTATCCAAAGCGACTTACAATAAGTGCAAAAAACATAGAGATTCAAACTCCGAACAACAAGCAAAGTGCAGATATATTATCTTCAACCAGGTCATGCCATTTGAAGTGCTGGTGAATTAGTTTTAAAGTGCTTTTTTACTTATAGATATATAGAATGGGAGGGATGAAACCCCTCTTTAATGGTCACACATGTCAAAGCACACAGTCAAACAGTGAAATGTGGCCTCTGCATTTTAACCCATCCTATAACCAGGAGTCTAGTACTAGGAGCAGTGGGCAGCTATTGTACAGCGCCCGGGGAGCAATGGGAGTGGAGGGGGGAAGGGGATTGTCCGGTGCCTTGCTCAAGGGCACCACGGCAGGGCGACTTGAACCGGCGACCCTACGGCTCACAGTCCAAGCCCCTACTGACTGTGCCACTGTCGGCATATATATATAAATATATATATATATGTATTGCTAGAGGCCCACAGGGCCATCTCCCAAAATCCTTAATGTCATGCACTGTATATGTATTTATATAAATGTATTTTCTTTATTATTATTATTATTTTTACAATAATTGAATTGCCAAACAGAAAGTTGTCTCAACAAAGAAGAAGTGTTGCAGATGTTTATTTAAATCAGAAACAATATGATCAATAATTGAATCAATACAACTTACTCTTACAGTTGTCCAGTTCATGTTTGGTGTTGATCTTCTGTTGATATCCTTTGTGAAATATACTCACTCATTTTCTCATTTAACAGAACATGGTCAAGCAAAAGGCTCTGAGAGTTCTGAAGCAGAAGCGAATGTAAGTGCTCTAATTTCCAATATTTTCCTTATCAACCAGAGTTATTCTTAACATCAACTGATGTGAAAGTCTAATTTATATAATTATTTTGTCTTCCAGGTACGAGGGCCAGAGAGATAACCTCATGCAGCAGTCGTTCAACATGGAGCAGACAAACTACTCAATCCAGACCCTTAAAGACACTAAAACCACAGTAAGAGAGTTCCTTTTCTACTGGACGTCTTCACACATAGAATCATAATTACAGACGGAAATGGCTCTTCGTGCTAACATGTGCTTTTTCCTTTCAGGTTGATGCCATGAAAGTCGGCCTCAAAGACATGAAGAAAGCCTACAAGCATGTGAAAATTGATCAGATTGAGGTATTAAATGTAATGTGAGAGCCATATTTGCTATCAAGTGTCGGCTATAACCAGCATAAGTGATATCAGCATATAATATGGTGTCATACATTAAGTCCAATAGAATCTGTCAGTGCTGACAGATGAAATGCAACAACACTTTTTATTTATTTATTCAGGATCTGCAAGATGAACTCGGAGACATGATGGAGGACGCCAATGAAATCCAGGAGGCGATGGGCAGAAGCTACGGCACACCTGACATCGATGAGGACGACTTGGAAGCGGGTCAGTAAAACAGTTCTTTATCCCTGATTTCATTTCAATGTATGAAATAAGTTGTAGTGTACAGATCATGAAGAACATTTGTGATAATATCCAGTAGTACTTTAAGTCATCTATGCCTCTCTATCATATCCAGGGCATCTAGTCTAGACCCAACATTGGGGATTGTACTTTGTCCATAATTTACATAATGATTAATAGCTCATTACCCAGATTTTTTTTTTAATAAATAGTTGTCTTGTCGCCCTTCCTTTCTATGAGGTGATAGTCCTAAAGGTGGCTGCTGTTTGTAATGTTGAACTGTGTGTGTGTCCACAGAGCTGGACGCGTTGGGAGATGAGCTCCTGATGGACGAGGACAGCTCCTACCTGGACGAGGCTTCCACGGCTCCTTCCATCCCAGAGGGCATGCCCGGCGACAAGTCCGTCAACAGGGTACTTCAGTTTGATAATATGAACAGGTTTTCTGATGTGTCTACTGTCAGACCTTTCATTCATAGGCTTTCTTCTTCTGTTTCAGGATGGTGTCCTGGTGGACGAGTTCGGCCTTCCTCAGATTCCCGCTACATAAGAGCAATCAGGATGCTCGTGCTAGTTTTACATGTATCATAGCCTTTTGTATGTACCCAACTGACACTCCTAGCCTTATAATGCATAATCATAAACCAAAGCATCTGCTGTTGAATGCATTTTGGAAACTAATGTCAAGTCAGGCATCTTTAATTAAAAGTTGTGATTATTATTTTGAGTGTGCTCATATCGTATGCATCTGAATTGGATTCTCTTAACTTTGTACAGTTTCGGCAGCGTTTGTTGCCAAGAACTAAATAAATTATATTTTTCAAAGACTACAACCAAGTCATTTAAAAGTCATTTAATTGTTAAATTAATTTTGTGAAAGTGCATAATAAAAATACATTTCATTTATATACATTTATTTGAAAAAAATAAATACAAATTCCTTTATAGAAGAAAGGGCTAAAAAGACAATCCCAGCCTACAGAGTGACATCATCACCAGTTCATCCTGTACGTGTGAGGGAAGATCTTTTGGTGCAGATACTCCATGGCACCTCTCTTATTTCGCAGTTGTTCAAACTCATAGTAAGGAACCTAGGAAGAAAATAAACGTTTTCAGTCATTTCATTCGGACAAGAGATACACAATGACATGGTTGAACAGTGATAAGTCCTGAGACACTTGTATTGTATGACCGATGTTGGAATAAGTCATTTAAAGGGATGAAAATCAGGCAGAGAAAACAAACAAACTGCTGAATCACTTAAGAATATGTAAGATGAAGGTCTAACCTGAACAACTTCATATCCCAGAAGCCTCAGGTGTCTCTGCTTGGTAGCCTCTTTTCCAAGTAGTTGCCTCTTGTTTGTAGTAAACCTCTTTTGTCCGTCGATACAAAGAGCTATCCTGTAACATCCATGAAAAGAAACAGTGCAATGTGTTTTAAATGATGAACATCAGAATCATTTTTCTATTTAGTGTAGCAACCTCTTTCAATAATAAACGACTGACCTTTTGTGGACGTCATTATTATGACTGGCAGGCAGCACAAACCCCTCTCCATCAAGTTTGATCTCCACATCTTCAAAAACAAAGAAGTAGTTGACGTTAAGCCCCTGGAAAGAATCTTATGAGACATAGGATCTAACAGATGTTGTGTTACCCAGTGTGTAGCAGTACGGTGTCAAAACTTGAGATCCAAAGTATGACCGAGCGCCGAGCAAATCCACCAGTCCATTTTTCACAGAGTTGTACAGCTGTATGTCCACTGGCATTTCCATAGAGCGTCCGGATGTGAGGAAAGACTTGACCCGGTAGCTGGGGTGGAGCCTGGGACCCTGAGGAGAGGACAGAGAAAGTGTAAAGACACAGATGGAAACCATTTTGTTATTACTTTACAACTAAATCCACCCCATGTCCATTTGTAGTAGATTTTGTTCTGAATTAGATCTGTTTTGAGGTTGTATTCTTTTTGTCTCTGGGAAAGTCACATGTTCAGGTTTTAGTCACGGATAACTGATGTGCACTGAGCCTTACATACTGGTGGCATGTTAAGTAAGAGGGTGTGTATTCAGGTTTGTGGCTGTGCATTATTCCTTTGTCATTCTGTTGAACTGAGGCCTGTACTACGAAGCCGGTTCAACCTAACCTGGATATGTTTGAGTTAGCCGGCTGGCAAAACATACGCGCTCTCGCTAAACGGTCCTACGATGCTGGTTATCAAGTGGATCGCTCAAGCCAGCCGTGCCCTATTTAGTTAGGTGCGCGTTCACATGAAAGGGGTGGTATTTGGAGCATTCGACCAATCGTACACTCGGAACAGATGCGTTTTCAGTTTGTGACAGANAGGTAATATTCTATTAATTTTCACGTTCATACAGTCAGTTGATTTTTACCGGCCATCTTTCCTGCAACGGCAGTTTAAACTGTATTTCCTTTCTCCTGTAATATGACTTAATAGCTTTAAACTCTGCACACTGAGATCTGATTGGTCAGCAGGCAGTGCTTTCACTGAGTTGATCTCTTAGCCTGCAACCTAACCTGCTCCGGAGCAGGTTAGCCGCTCAGTATAAGTTACCATGGAGATCTAGCCCGCTAAAAAGAGAACCAGCGTCGTAGGACCGGAAACCCCGAGTTTTCCCTGAAGTTAGCCGGCTAAACAAAAATCCTGCTTCGTAGTACAGGCCTCTGGCCTCATCTTTAACTTGTCTAACTGTTGAAACATGTTTACCTTGTAGTTAGGACACTCCAGCTTCAAAGTCATGTAGAGCTGGGTCAGCTGTGCCTTGGCGATCCGGTCCAGTCCCGTGCTCTGCTCTGAAACACAGTACAATCTAATTTAGTCTATTGTTTGAACGATAATGGCCAAATGATAGAATGATTACGGGACAAACGTAAAACCTGCAACATGAGATAGGTTGAATAACATAGAGGTTGTGTTGCTGGTGTTTGACAGGATGTTTTACCTTGCAGTTCCTGTAGAAAGAAATTGTTGAAAACTTTGGGGACAAAATTAACAGGGAACCTCTCCACCAGGGTGCAGGAGTGGAGCAGGTTGAGCAGCGTTCGGGGCTGAAAGTGCGACAAGCGTGTACGCAGGATGGTCTCAACTTTCCTGAACACATCTCCTGCGTTGGGAGGAACGTAGCCGAGTTTCCCGAGAGCCATGATCTGCCTCGTCACCTGGCTGGTGCTGTAGTCGTCCGCTCGGTACACAAAGCTCTCTGCAATGGCGTCTAACACAGTCTCTGACAGGATGTTCCTCTGGCCAAAGAACTGCATCACCTTGGTTACTGTCTCAGGGTGGGATGTGAAGGCCATTTGGGGAACATACCTCTCCATTGCCTCCACAAAGTAATGATCGCTGTGACCAAAGTACATTAGGGCCCCGAGCACAGCGGTGAGTTCATCGTCTGTGAAGTGGGGGACATGGCGGACGGACTGCTTGCAAAGACTGATGACAAGAGGCATGGCCTGCAGCTCCTTCAGGGACACCAGAGCACCAAGCAGCCCGCTGACAGCAGGAGGGTCCATGGAATAGGTCACTTTCATGGCGTGGCTGTGCATTGCGTTCAGCAGGTGACGGTATTTCCCATCCTGACCCACGCCACCTTGCACCAACATATAAGCAGCGATGAGATCTTCAAGGCTCCAATCGGCAGGCTTCTGCTTCTGGATTTGCTTCATCACCTGCTCCAGCATCACACAGCTGGACCCCCCTATAGCCAGCATGGCCTGGCCCAGGTTACACAGCTGCCTCACGCTCATCTGCCCTCTGTCCAGCCTCTCCTGGCTTTCAGACACCAGCCGCACCATCAGCGTGCTCCAAGGGTCCAAGAAGAGGCGAGTGCCAGCCAAGAGTGTGGATACTATCCCAGCATCAGTCAGCCACCCAGACTCCTTCTCCAGCTGGAAGCACAGGGCTCGCATGGTGTCGTTCTCCAGCACCGTGGGGTCCTTCAGGGAGGCACCTTCCTGCTCCAGGTCGGCCACACGGTGAAGTGCTTCAGCAGCCATGGTGTCAGACATGATCTCCACGGAGCGCAGCAGTTTGAAGACCTGCCGGGATGAGGAGCAGTTTGTGAGGCGCTGCTGGAAGGCCCGATGCCTCTGCAGCGGTGGGTTGGTGCAGCCGGGTCAGACGGAATCGAGGGGATGAGTCTTTTTGGAGACCCACAGAGTTGCTGGCGAAGAAGGATGGCTCCTTAACGATGGTGGTCAGGTTTCTTATCCCATACTCCGATTGGAGCTTCTTGCTGCTGGATGAGGTGAACACGTAGCCTAGGACATGAGGACTGGCCTTCACTCCTGGTCCTCAGCAGCCTGGAGGGGAGCACAGGTCCAACCGGAGGATAACGGAGAATCCCGAACTGCCCGAGCAGCGGAAATCTCTGGATCAGCTTCAGGGCCATGACCCTGCATCAGGAATCTTCAGACCTAACTGAAACAAGAAACACAAGAAATCTTTTTTCCAGGATTGCTTTGGTCATGGTCATGGTCTCTCTCTCACACACACACACACACACACACACACACACACACACACACACACACACTATGTAAGTAATTCAGAGAACATTCTACAGGCAGAACTTAGATCCCTTCGTCGTTACTCTGCTGTCAACTTACAAAAGATCAACCTTGACGTATCTGTTAGCTAACGTTAGCTACTTAGCTGCTAGCTTCCGAACTAGAGTGTATGACTCGCCCTGTACGAAGGTTGACACTTTAGCTTACGGTATTAAATAAAACACTACACGAAGAGGTGAAAACGCCAAAAAGTATACCTGGACATTCATACGAAGGTACAGGCTCACAGCACCAGTGTCAGCCAAGATGCTGTCGTAACGTGGTTCCGTAAGAACAATGAGGCGTTCAGGGCACCTCGTTTTTCTGCAGTTGATGAATGTTATGACTCGGGCTGAACGCATTTCATGCGGTATTTGGTAGGAGGGATATTGACAATGTAAAGTTACCAGAAATATTGCTAAACAAAGTTAGGTAGTGTTTCTGTAGCAGAACAAAGGGCGAGGCAGGTGTCCATACGTGCCACAACATGAAGATTTTATAAACCTTTTCAAATTTGATGGACATTATTATTTGTCTTGTAAATCCTGTCTGAACCGACAGCATTAGAAGGCAGCACCATGACGCGAAAAATCATGCTGGAAATGTTCATTCAAATATACAGTCTATGGTTCAGATATATACTGTATGATTAACCGGAGGACAAAACACAAAAACAGATTGTAAAAGTAAAGTGTGCCAATACATTTATAAAAATGTCAATTTGAAAAGATACCGAAGAGGATTAAGAAAAGGCATAGTATAGTATTTGAAAAAAAACCAGTATATTTTCAAGATCTATAATTTATCATAGAATAGTGTATCAAGGAATAAAAAAAAAAGTCATAGTATAGCATGTCCTACATTTTGAAAAAAGTAATTTTATAGCATGTAAAAAATATATAAAATGGTAATAGGAAAGAATATTAAAATATCATTAAAAAAGTCCCATTGTTGAAATATAATGGCTAGTACACTGAACAAAAATAAAAATGCAACCCTTTTGTTTTTGCTCCCATCTTTCATGAGATGAACTCAAAGATCTAAAACATTTTCTATATACACAAAATAACCATTTATCTCAAATATGGTTCACAAATCTGAAAAGATCTGTGATAGTGAGCACTTCTCCTTTGCCGAGATAATCCATCCCACCTGTGTGGCATATCAAGATGCTGATTAGACAGCATGATTATTGCACAGGTGTGCCTTAGGCTGGCCACAATAAAAGGCCCCTCTGAAACGTGCAGTTTTGCTTTATTGGGGGGGTCTGGGGGGGTGTCAGTATCTGGAATGACCACCGTTTGCCTCACGCAGTGCAACACATCTCCTTCGCATAGAGTTGATCAGGTTGTTGATTGTGGCCGGTGGAATGTTGGTCCACTCCTCTTCAATGGCTGTGCTAAGTTGCTGGATATTGGCAGGAACTGGAACACGCTGTCGTATACGCCGATCCAGAGCATCCCAAACATGCTCAATGGGTGACATGTCAGGGTTAGGGTTAGGGTTAGGGTTAAACTGACTGGTTTTCAGACCCCCCCAATAAAGAAAAACTGCACGTTTCAGAGTGGCCTTTTATTGTGGCCAGCCTAAGGCACACCTGTGCAATAATCATGCTGTCTAATCAGCATCTTGATATGCCACACCTGTGAGGTGGGATGGATTATCTCGGCAAAGGAGAAGTGCTCACTATCACAGATTTTTTCAGATTTGTGAACAACATTTGAGAGAAATGGTTATTTTGTGTATATAGAAAATGTTTTAGATCTTTGAGTTCATCTCATGAAAAATGGGAGCAAAAACAAAAGTGTTGCATTTATATTTTTGTTCAGTGTAGGTTTATCTTTGCATTTAGAAAAAAATGAAAAAGTCATACTTTAATTTTGTATATCTTTAAAAAAAACAACATTGTATAGTTTGTCGATTATATAACAAACATATATCCACTATATATGTTAATTTTAATAATTTTCTTATTTCAGTTATTTTATTTTTAATTGTATTAATCTGTTCTCTCCTGGTTTTCATCCTTACCCCGTTGCTGTTAAACTACTGAATTTCCCCACTGGGATTAATAAAGGTCCATCTTATTTTATGTCGAATAAAATGAAAAAATGCACCAAAGAAAGATGGTAAATTATGTGGGAATATGGCACGTTATAGTGTGTAGAAACCAGGCGTGGTATGTCGTTAAAAATGACAGAAAAGTCATAGTTGAAAATGTTGGAAAAAAAATGCTAAAATAAATACATCTCTCTCCATTGTTGATTTTAATTGACACAAATGAACCCAAGGTTTTTTGAGTGTGTTGTGATCATTTGGCATTTTTCAGAAAGAATTCAGCCAATGCTAGTCGGAACATGTTGAATGAATTTAGTGAGAAGAAAGTCGACCTGTCAAGACTTGAAAGGCATTTTAATTATGCCACAGGAAAAATAAAGACAGAATAATGCAATATGTCATTCAGTTGTCATTTATAGAAGGAGAACAGAAGGCATAATACAACTTGATAGAGGGCTTTATTTATAAAGTTCATATTATAAAATGTAAAAATTTATCTAAACCTGATCATATGAACTGCAAAGACATTTCCCTTAGAGCTTCCAAGGCGCTGCCACTTCACATCTTAACATGACAGGAAAAACATTTTACAGCCTCTTAGATTTATCTTCTCATTGGAGATGTGTACATTTGGCAAAACTGGAAGTTCACAACAAACAAGATTAGATATTTATTGCTTTGGTGGTAAATGGGGTTTACACTGGAGAGTTGAGACATGCAGCACGGTGATCTAGCTGAAGAAAGAGGCAAAAAGGGTGAAAAGGAATCTGCTGGTATGGCTCTTTAATCGTCCTTATCCTTGGCGCCGTGCTTTAGGATGCGTGTGAACTCCACGTAGTTGAAGTTGCTCTTCTTGTCGATGGGGGCCTCCCTGAAGAGCTCGTCCACTTCCTCATCTGTAAATCGGTCACCCATTGTTGTGAGCAGATCTCTGAGGTAATCTTCCGAGATGGAACCTGAGGGGAAAACAGTCGTATCAGATAAGGACAGGAATAAACTTGCAATGAAAGAATTACCATCTTTAAGAAACCACTATCTTAACAAAACTGGATCAGAATGTACCTGCTCCCTCCTCATCGAAACAAGCAAAGGCATTTCGGATCACATCCTCAGGGTCTGTGCCATTGAGCTTCTCCCCAAACATGGTGAGGAACATGGTGAAGTTAATGGGTCCAGGAGCTTCCATCATCATGGCCTCCAGGTACTCATCAGTTGGATTTTTCCCTGTAGAAATACACAGGTATATTGCACTTAGGCTAAAGGGTTTCAATACAGAATGTGTTTTAAGTACAAGTGACAATAACAACTGTGAAATAAAAAATGTCAGCCTGTAGAACTAGTTTTAAAACCATGTTGGTGCACACCCACACGCTATTAGTAAGCTCATGCTACTACTCACCCAGTGATGCCAGCATGTCGTGGAGGTCCTCTTTGTCCACAAACCCATCACGGTTCTGGTCGATCATGTTGAAAGCCTCCTTGAACTCCTGAATCTGAGACTGGTCAAACATGGCGAAGACATTGGAAGTCGCGCGCTGAGGGCGCTTCTTTGTGGTCTTTCCCTTTGCTCTTTTGCTAGACATGTTGACTGTTTTCTTGTTAACCTGTGAGAATAAATATATACATATTAGATTATGCATTCAGCAATTGGACGTTATTATTTAAGGAGGCAACCATAAATATCAGTATCATTTAAAAACACTATGGACAGAGCAATGTACATAGCAAAATGTAGCTATTCCATCGAGTCATCTTTTCTCTAGCAGTCAGAGAAAAGATGACTCGTTGGAAGACAAGCTCATGGAATGTTTTGTCCTGTTACTATATGAGTTTGCCTTTACAACGGGATGGCAGGGTGTTTAATTCTCTGGCAGCGATTCCCCAGAGCGGTGTCCTTCACGGAGCTATAAATGGAAATGTTCACTTATCTTTCTATGTTGATCAGCTCACTGGCTTCACTGAGGGCAGGAGAATTAGTTATGTGAGGACAAATGCCCTTATCAGGACATGTCTGAGATGAAGACTGAAACTGTCCTACATTTACATCTTTATGTTGACATAAGGAAAGTGGCTCGACCAGCTTGAACAGGAGTTGTATAAAGCCTTGCTTGGTATTATAATTAGATATTGGCAATATAGTTAAATGGCTACAACTTCTCTATGAAACTAGTACGTTTTAAATATAAGGCTCCAGTAACGTTCAGTTATAGTTCTAAATGTCTGAGTCATAAAAATGTTCTCTGGAAGTTATCAATTGACCTACCAAAAAACACTTTATTTTGTGTATAAATCTCCCATTACAAGTTCAGAAAGCGACACTTTAGCAAAGAAAAGCAGAACATTCAAAAACCGGGGAGGATGATGACAGGAAATAAGCGTCCATTTGGCTTTTTCAAAAAAAAAAAGCCTGTCCGAGTAAAGAAATAGTCAAAATGTAAATGTTTATATTTATTGCAAAGCACTCATTATCAGGTTATGAACACTGTAAAAATACGGACTGGCTTGATTCCCCACAAATGAGCTAACGTTATGGTGACATCTGTTTTAGTTTGTACTGCGCAGTTGACAAACCGTACAAAGTGTAACTTCAACAAAATTAACTTGATCCTCAATTCGTTTGTAATACCTGACCTAATCACAACTCCTGGGGAATTACGTGTACAGTCTTAATGGCTTGCGGCCTAGCTTGGGTCACATAAAAATAATTACGATACTGTGCACAAGGCTGTGAACGATAGCACACTACAAACACTTATCATTCAGTTGCGGAAGCTACCCATGTTCACATGGAATATTTATATAATTTTCCAGGTTAACAATTCACTTAAAAAGTAACAATACTAATTCGGGATCTAAACAGTCGCTGTCTAGTCAGTATCCGAGCAGCTAACAGTTAGCCGTGTTTTTGATGCAATCAAACGGAACACGCCTAACGACACGATAGCACGTTATTCAGATATACGCTTTTTACATTGCTACCAGCTGTGTGGTATCTTAATATCAAATTATTCATAAAGTAACATATATTGTAAGCAGAAAAAAAGGCTAGAACACAAACTTACCTGACAACAACCCGAAACTTCTGCTAGCCCGATGCTGCTCTTTTCTCAACCACCGCCCTCTTCATTTCCTGATAATATTGTTGGGTATTTAGAGCAAACCAACTGTATAAAATAGGGGTACTTGTAAATTATGTTACTATTATTATTATTATCTTGAAAACCAATTAATAGGTTGTTTTGGTGTAAACATAATAAATGGATAAATAATGCTTAACTTGATCAGAAAGCAGATGATAATGTTTAATTCTTAGTGGTAATAAAATACAAATTATGACACCACACCCCCCGACAGAGTAAATGTAACTTCCACAAACACTCCCTTGCCTGCCTTGACATTCCTGGATATGCCCTTTTAAGGGAAGAACGAATACATCGTCCTTCCTGCAATTAAGGCAAGGGAAAACTTGAAGGATCCCCACAACAAAAAAAGGCAAACATAACAGTCAACTATTATTTAGCATCAAATTAAATGTCTGTGTTATTAGATGTATCAGATTAAAAACATATATATATATAGTTCATTTTTTCCTATTTAGTTGACACTGTTTTCAAGATACATAGTAGGCTTTTTTGTGTTGTTTTTTGCTCTTTTATGGTCATTTGGAAAACTAAAATACCTGCATATGTTACTAGGTGCTGTATTCTCTTTTTGTAGCCTTCTCAGCCAAGTTTTTCTTGGATAAAAACGACGTTAACCTCAATTGAACTTTAACCTGAGGAAGTAATGTGAAAGCTAGTAAAAATGAGAAGAAATTGATATGCTCAAACCAAAACAATGAAGAGAAACATTTTTGACAGGATGGATAATAATAGATTCTGACTCCCAGCGTGTGCCAGACAACAGTTGGTACCCCCGGTCATAGCTGCAAAAAGGGAGGCTTACTGCAGGGACTCAAAGGAAAGATGTTAATCTGTTGACTCACAGGTTAAAACAAGCCATGCCAGCCTTTTGTCCAGTTGTCATATCACTTTCAAAGTTAATAACAAAATCACTGATCATGTGCCATATAGTGCTGTCAGCAAACAAACCACCAGTGACGTGCATTAAAAACACGACTATTCGTAATGATGGTTACAATTGTAGTTCATTCATTTAAAAACTTGACCTCACTGTTGGATCCCTTCTCTTTCAAAGGAGCAGTCTAAACACTGTATACTGTATATGTAGTGTCACAACCAACCACTAGAGTGTGCTAGCTTTATAGAAAACCATTCATTCACTCACTGATATTATAAACAGTTTCTTGAGTTTGTTACCTAATATTGTGTTAGCTATTCAATTGAATTTGTTTATGTCTACAACTGTTATCTCAGACATTCAAGTAGCTTTTAATGTGTGGGGGCCATACTAAGCAGAGCATACAAATACCCTTAATAGATCCCATGAGATGTCCATAGGGTTGGAATTTCCTGACAGCTGAACCAAGTGGCATGGTGCTAACATTAATGTACTTCACATACAGTACACAGTTCACATATATGAGCATCTATCAATAAAATGTCATATAATACAACTCAACCACAATCTGCTGCCATTTTTAAAATTCGTCACATTTCTGATATCTCAACAAACTGAACATGATAGGCTTAAAGTCTACAGGGTGGTTGTATTATATTGCATTCAAGTATACAGATGAACTCAATGTTATTAACCATGGTAGTTAAAATGTGATACAATTAATCATTTTAATAATTATTAAACGTTTTATTCTTGTTCATTCTTAGTCAAGGAGTTACACAACCAGAATACACTAAAGGCCATGATGCTTAGAACCTACAGAAAGAATTTGTTCTATTCTTTGATATCAATAATATTCACTAATAGGTAGGTACAGTATGTCAGGGTTCTACACAGACTTTATGATATAAATATATGTAATAAAATCAGGTGAATATTATTGTTATACACATACTGTAATATGCTCAGTGTGACTTTTGTTTGCTTAAAGGTGGGGTAGGTAAGTTTGAGAAACCGGCTCAAGACACACTTTTTGTTATATTCCATGGAATGCTCTTAACAGGGATGTTAAGAGCATTCCATGGAATATAACAAAAAGTGTGTCTTGAGCCGGTTTCTCAAACTTACCTACCCCACCTTTAAGCAAACAAAAGTCACACTGAGCANGTGTGCCTTGGCAGTCTCAGTTGGATATGGTATGTTATTGGTTATGGCCATGTACTTATGATTTTATGATTATTTAAATGCATACAGTTCTGTTTCATATGGGTGTAGTCTATTTATTTCCCCCTCAAAGTGCACCAGATTGATGCATATTAAAGGTGGGGTAGGTAAGTTTCAGAAACCGGCTCGAGTGCACTAAAATTTGAAAGTACACAGCCAAAAAGAATCCGCCCCTTCCTTCAGAATTCCTTACAGAGCACCTCCTCCGCGAGAGCAGGCTGCAGTAACGTTACATATCAGGCAAAGCTAAACACATCTAGGTTAGCAATACTACAAAGCCAAAGCAGCTCCGATATTGACTCTGGTTTGACTTCTCCTAGCTTCCACTTTCTTTTTGTTCTTAATTTGCTCCGTTACATTTTTTCTTTTGCGACCAGTAGACGATGTTGAACCTAACTCTGCCATGGTGAAAGTGGCCGCCTGTTGCTGGCGAGTCATTGAAGTACTGCTGCAATGCACGCCCAATGACGGCACGCCCAATGAGGGCACGAGATACATTTGTGCGTGCACGAGATGGAAGGTTGACAGACAGGGCGGCAATCTAAACGGATTGGTTGTAGTTTTTACAGTACTACGGCTTCCACAGATGACATTTTTTTATGGATTTTTTGTCAAAGCACTTAAGATATTCATTGCTATCGGGATGTTAAGAGCATTCCATGGAATATGACAAAAAGTGTGTCTTGAGCCGGTTTCTGAAACGTACCTACCCCACCTTTAAGCTAGACTATATTTGAGTCATGTCTCAGTATTTAACTATGTGCATGTCTTTTTCTGCGTGTATCCTCCACTCCATTCATATTCTCGGGTTCATGCTCACTTGGCTCGTGTTAATCCAGGTTATGATATTCATGTATCACTGTACTCCAGCTAACAGCTCTCGTGCATTACTGTCTAAAACTCCCTCTTCGCCTGGACATCGTCTCGTGCTTCCAATCCCAAGATCTCTTCAGTTTACCTATGGTAATTATGCATATAACTGGTGGCAGCATCTTAATAGAATATCAGGGCTTTTGTTCAGATAGGTGCAGCCACCTTTGCTGCCAATCAAGGCATTTTTCCCTCATCCCTGCAACTCGGACGGTGGTCCTCCTCCGCCTTCATATCCCACATTCGCCCGGACATCAGCGCGTGCTGGCTATCTAAGGTCTCTCAAACACAAAAAAATGGGTAATTATGCCTATAACTTTGGTGGTGGTTTCATAGCACGTCAGCATGTATACGTGTCACTGTGTTCATGTTTAACCCTGCACTCAGGTTGTGCAAGTGCAGGTTGCGGCCAGTGAGTCGCGTTAGGTTTAACCCTGCGAGTGCAGGTTGCGGCCAGTGGGTCACGTTAGATTTAACCCTGCGAGTGCAGGTTGCGGCCAGTGGGTTGCGTTAGGTTTAACCCTGCGAGTGCAGGTTGCGGCCAGTGGGTCTGCGTTATGTTCAACCCTGCGAGTGCAGGTTGCGGCCAGTGGGTCTGCGTTATGTTCAACCCTGCGAGTGCAGGTTGCGGCCAGTGGGTTCCGTTAGGTTTAACCCTGCATGTGAAGGTTGCGGCCAGTGGGTCTGCGTTATGTTTAACCCTGTAAGTGCAGGTTGTGGCCAGTGGGGTCTGCGCTATGTTTAACCCGCAATGCGCCGGCAATGGATTCGGGCGATCGACCGCAGGGGTCTTGCTCCCACGATGTTACTTGAGCCCGCAGTGACTCCGGCATCTCAGCATGCCCTTGTTAATCTCTAATTTCATCATACGATCTCCGCAGTATACTTCACTTCTTTTTTGGGTTCATCGAGCGGCGTTTTCCCCTCCTGAATGTCATCCTGGCCAAACGGGGCCTAATCGCCAAACCATAATTTCACTTTCACTTGTTGTAATCCGTCAATCACTATTTTTCAATTTTATGTGTCCGGTAAGTAATAAACATGTTATTTATACATCCACGTCTCTCCTGATTGAATTAAAGGTGGGGTAGGTTATTTTGGAGAAACCATTCTCGAGTGCGCCAGAATTTGAAAACAGCCGGGAAAAATCTGCACTTTCCTTACAGAGCCCTCCTCAACACACCGAACGGGCAGCGCATGACCAATGAGGGCAACGAGATAAGTTTGTGCAGATGGAAGCCATCCAGTTTTTTAGGCCCGGCCGGCTAAAATGATGGGTCGTGCATTTACAGCGCCACGTCCCATCAGTATGACATTAGTATTTATTGTCAAAGCATTTCATATTCTGCTATCGGTGATGTTAAGAGCTTCCATTGGAAATTAACTAAAAAGTGTTCTTGAGCGGTTTCTCAGCCTTACCTACCCACCTAAGTTATTATTCATTTATTGTTTTCTATTAGCTTCGGTGTGTGAAGCAGCAGCTAATTCACCAATCAGTTGACCAGGACTGCCTAATGCTTATTATGTGAAGGAAAGGGGACTCAAGATACAAAGCTTGGAACNATTTCAAATCCCGAAGTGCTACAAGCAGTGAGCATGAACAGTATAAATAAACATTACACAACACGGTAGAATTAATAAAAAGCAATACAAAAAAATAAATAAAAATAAATAAATAAATAAAAGGGTGATAAAAAAGGTCTAGGCAAAGGCTCTTTTGAAGAGATGGGTTTTGAGGCCTTTTTTAAAAGCCTCCACGGTCTGTGGTGCTCTCATTTGGTCGGGGAGAGCATTCCACAGACTGGGAGCAGCCGAGCAGAAGGCCCGGTCTCCCATGGTACGGAGCTTAGTCCTGGGGGGTTTGAGGAGGTTGGAGCTGCTGGAGCGGGTGGTCCGCAAGGAGGTATGGGGGGTGAGGAGTTCCTTGAGGTAGGGAGGGGCAGTTCCATGGACACACTGGTGGGTGAGGACGGAGACCTTGAATTCGATCCTCAGTTCCACGGGTAGCCAGTGTAGTGCTTTAAGGATGGGGGTGATGTGTTCATATTTGCGCGCCCTCATCCAAGCAGATCATGCATTTTAGCCATTCCTCATTTCGCTCAATTTAACACTGTCTTTTCATGGGCTGATTCTGTGAGAACAGCATCATCTACAGGCCTGCCATATGTACTACAGCGTCTCCAGCGCTTTCCAACGGCAATGTCCGTGGCTTTCTCCTGCTGATTGGTGGAGTTGGCCCAATAGCCGTATCGCCACTTCTGTGACGTCATAGAAGTGTTCAAATCTGGATCAGTCCGTATCAGATCCGTTGCAGACCCTTTTTTAGAGATTTGGGTATGGAGGAAAATAGAAAGGGTTGTGTTTTCTGACACTTGGTGAGTTCCCTGGAACACCGGGGACACATATTCATGTATAAAAGACGTACAAAAGTGCATTTTGCATGATAGGTCACCTTTAAGGTATGATCACACTGGTTACGTTCCTAGGAAGATAATAACATATATAACAAAAATATGTATCTATAATAGAAAATTGCATTTCAGTGAAACTAATTTATTTGCTTTCTTGCAAATAGTTTGATCAAAAAACAATACCACTGTTTTTATTAAAAAAATTAGGGCCATAGTCAGCAGATGGCTAGCTTAGCTTATCATAAAGTTCGATTCAAATCATTCATGTTGGCAAATTATTAACGGCTTCTGACATACAGTATAATACAATTGTAGAATATATCAAAATTCATTCGACTGCATTAAGCATAATGACCCTTCTTAACATGTATTGTTCTTATCAGTGCTAATCTCTTTTATGGGTTTACACTTTAGATTGTTGCCAAAACATTGTAGGCATGTTGGAATGCTCACTGTTTTATCATGTGGGTAACGGCCAAAAAGCTTGCGTGTTCAACTCAAAGGTCTCAGAGGTGTTCACTGACATGATATTTTTGCCATGGAAACCTACTTAGTGTTGTGGTCAATTCCAAGAACAATGTCCAAACATCTGTGGCTGGCAGCTAAATTGAATCTGCCTGCCAAAGGGCCTCTAATAAACTGACTTTCAACAAAAGAGTCCTGAATGAGTCATACTTGCACCAGGAGAGTGTTTCCATCAACAATCATTAAGTTATCCATCTCTCCTTAAGGAGGCTCTGATGAGACGAGGGAACAGGAGGGGACGTTTGTGAGCTTCCACAAAAGAGAGTGGGTCTGAAAGTGAGAGTGACAACAGAGACTGTAACAATAGCATGCAGCAGCTAAAGTTAGACCGCTGTGGTAACAAGTCAAGACAAAAGATACTGGAGATCAAGCAGTGATGGCATACTGTGGACTGAGAGCAAGCAAGACCTTCAAATGTAAAAAAAAAAAAATAAATATTAGTTCATACATTTAAAATGGTCACTTTTGAAATCTGGGGGTCACTGCACCTTTGGAAAATCTGCATCGTGAGGTGCTTTTCTATCCTAACTTTAATTGAAAGTAGGCTTTGTCATATTAATACCCGGTTGACTCCATCACATTTATTTGCTTACTTCTGCATAAGGCTATGATATATAAACAAACAAAGTATACAGTAAGGCATATACAATCTGTACATTAACTCATAAATACAGGAATTAGGATAGTATTTTATACATAGACAGGATAAGAGGCAAACATTCATATCAAAAGATTAGACAAAAAATACAAGAGTAAGCCTGTGTTTACCTGCAAATTAGAAGTAATGTTCATCAGCAGAGACCTGCAGCCATAAATGTGTTGTCCCCCAACACTCTGCTCTCAGCTATATTTATCTCCACCCTCACCATAAAAGGTTGTGACTGCTGCTTGGACATTCTGGCAAGGGACAACATTATTTTTGTTGTGTAGACCGCAGCCCTGAACGCACCTACCTGTAGTTTTGCTGGGATATCGAGCTTTGGATTTTGAACATCTTTTCCTCTATAACTTGGAGTTTAAGGGATTTTTCCAGGGTAAGTGGCAACAGATATGCAGGGAGGAGGCCTGATAAGTGAGGTTGTAATTGTTGCATGTTTGTCCTAGCATGCTGAGAAAATGCCTGAAGCCTGAACCTTATATTTTGTCTAGCTAGCTGATTAGGTTTACATTTGCAATTTGAGGATGTTTAAAAGTATAACCCCTTTAGTTTTTCCTATTTTTGGTCAAGACAATATTATGCATTTTTTTAGCAACAATATTGTTAGAAATATGAAATGGCATCATTGGGATCACCAACTTCTCCATATTATTATTATTTAGTTTGTAAGTAATTTGTTTTTCATAAGCACAGTAAAGCCAATTACTGATCTCGACCAAAGTATGTAACGCTAAGTGAAAGTCGTTGACCTACAGTTTATAATAATGGTAAATCCACCTGCTCTTGAACACTAACTAACCAAACAGACAAAGTAGGCAGCAAGAAACTCGGAAGCTCGCGGCTAACACCAGGAGCGGCCTGCAACATGTCTGGATCTTTACCGTTCTACCAGAAGCACCACCGCCACTATGACCGTGACTACAGGAGCAAGGAGACAGTGTCCAAACTGAGCCAGTACCAGACCAGCAGCAGGTACACGGCTGGCAGCAGCACCTCCGCTGCCACCAGCAGGAGCAGTGGGTAAGAAGGAGGAAGAGGATCATACCTTCATCAATCCACTTCTTGTCACAGGAAGCTCCCCTTAACACCCAACCTACAGTTCATCTCCATCAACCTTGTTGGATCACTTCCCGGTCACAGCTATGAGATCATATGTCCCGCTTCACTGCCATATTGACACCAAAGTAACCATCCTTCCCTCTTCTGATTCTCCTTGATCAACCTTCACACACACCAAAGGATCTTTGCTCCCTAAAAACCTCTTTGAATCCAGCATGAAGCTCCTTGCATGATGACTAATAAAGGACCTGTTTGCTTTTCTGCCTGCTCATGAACTTTTATCTGTAACACATCTATTCCTAAATAACTCAAATGATTTTTGGATATGTGGTTTATTACATTTTTGCTCAAATCAGGGAAAGACTGTTGGTTAGAGAAACTGGACAGAAATGCTATGTATGTTGTGCAAAGGTTGAGTTATGGTATATGGCGTAGACTGAAATAGAATTTTGACCTGAACATACCATGCTGGAGGGAAAGTAACAAATGACAGATTGTCAGTCTATCTTTAAAATCTCATATCATTTACATGCATATATATTAAAAACTAAGTGACTTACCAAAAGGCACAAGTAAAGTTGTTCTTTAGTGGACATTATTGAATGCATTGGTGTTATTGTAGAGAATATGCTTGGTCAAATGTACTGAAAAAGAATGATGGCGGTGTCAAGTAACTGATTTAAAGCTGTTTTATGATATGGATTCCCTGTCCCTGGGAAGGTGCTCTTCTTTCATATTTAAGGATTTACAAAACACCCTGCTTATGGGGGTCCCATCTTTTACAGTGGCTTATGTTTAAAAGCACTGGCCTGGAGAGTGTGAACAGGTCAGGGGGCTTAGGCTTGACTTACACCATCGGATCTTTGCCTTTACACCAGCCACCAAATCTGTGCTGATGAGAGGGTTATGATGTGATGATGATTTAACAGTCCGAGTGGTTGCATTAATGTCGTTCTGGCAAAGATACTGCATTTATTTAGGAAGGAACATTGACGTTTACTGGATTTCAGTAATGAATCCAAAGTGTGGTTGCAGTCTTATTTCTGGACATTGGAGAAAGTGTAAATGGTCAGAGCTGAAGGAAAAGTGTCTCAGATAGATACATGGAAAAAGAGAGCAGTAGCCCTGTCACCAATCTGGTCCCCCCTGCTTATCAAGTTCTTGTTATCTCATTCCCTTAGCCCCCACCCCCAACTCTGAGTGCTGCAGATGGTGCTTCCACAGACAAACTGTGTGGCGTCTGACCTCAAATCCAAAACGTATTTTCTTTCATCGCTCCACTTATCATTCCTTCCCGAACTGTAGCCTTAGAAAGCAAATAGAGTATGATAAATGATTATTCGATTTGGCGTCTTTTAGTTATTGAATAAATACAACAGTGGTACTCATGTTGTCCTTTGCATCAGATGCCATTTGTTGATTCTAAAAATGTAATTATTCTGGACACATACAAATAATACAACTAAACCTCTTCACTACCCACTGAACCTTCATCTACCACTAATTTACCCCCCTCATGGCTTCATCCCCACATTTTGATGTAATCTTATTAGTTGCATTGTCTGGCCAGGCTGATGGTTTTCTAAATGTCACAGACTTAACGTGTCTACACATTATGGGCTGGAAGCGAGCAGACTGAGCCCTATACTCAAGAGGGCCAAGCCAACTTACTTGGCTGTGGATAAGGACCACCAAATCATCGGCTACGTAGTGCCTATCTTCAGGGGCAGGTAATAATTTCTTCAAAGTATACTACAAGAGTGTTTGGAGACCATTTTTTTACGGTTATGCCTAACTCCCCATTCCTGGACCTTCTCTACAAACTCCTAGTCAAGAGTTTGGGACTGGGTTTTCGAGTAGAGAGGAAGCAAGGGTGCGGGACTCTTCTAAGTACATGGCCCACAGGGATTTGTTCACCAGTGGCATGGAGATGGAGAGGTCAGAGCAGACCTCCAGGAGGGAGGCCATTCGAGAGACGGCCGAGCGCATCTCTCTAAACAAAAGGGTCAGTGGGGGAATTCTAAATGTAGCTTTTCAGAGCTTGTACAGGAGTACACTTCAACAGTGAAATAACTGACTGCTTATCATTTTTACATCACAAAATATGAGTGACATGATTGTGAAGGCTACTCTTACTGTCACTTAATGTAAATCATTTAGTAGATCATTGTGTTCTTTCAACCCTTTGCCACAGTTACATTTTTCTTTCTTGCATTTTGTCACTATGCTGTCCAACAGCAGTATTGAGTTTTTTTAAACCTAATGTGGACAGGTCCATTTTTAAATGTTTCAATATATCTTTCATAATATTATATGTTCTCCAATCATAGCATAATATCAGGCTACATTACAAAATGAGGTTAGCTGCATGGTTGCATCACTGAGCAGAAATCATTTCAGTACTACTTACACCTAAGTGCCTTTGGTGTTTGTTACTAGTCCTTACACAAGGAAGTTATTATTGTCCCAGGGTGATTATGTGAAGTAGGATCCAACCATTCATTAAGCAACATAAAATCCACAGTGACCGCTTCACTGTATTAATCTGTCTTCACTCTGCCAAATAGCGTTACTACTAGGTGGCACATTCTTTAGGGGATCCTGTTTCTTGAGACAGTGTCCCAGCGGTGTTGTCATTTTATGTGTTGACTGGTTACTGGACGCTCAACTAGACGATGCCTCAAGACCCCTAGCTATTCTCACAACATAATCAACGACACACAGGGGCGCCGTAAGGGGGTGAAAAGTTAGAACGATTCTAAGGGCCCGTGACTGACAGGGGCCCAAACCATTTTAGAACATTAAGAAAAAAATGTTTAAGTAACCAATGTGATATCTTTTCATGGGGCCCAAAATCCCTGGCGGCACCCCTGACGACACACACTCACAACACGTTTCAAGTTTAAAAGTACAAACGTCTTGCATGGGAAAAAGAAGGGATGTTGCTGAATTAGTTTGCTTTGTTTTTGCTTCAACTGTGGATTGTGAATACCTGGTGAAATATACTTTATATATCTTTTTTAAGTTTAAAGTTCAATTGTCCTGGGTGATTTTTTCTGTTTGTAGATCCATGAACACGGGGTACACTTTAAGCGTATGAACGAAGACAATCTGATGCATACCCCGGAGTTTGTGATTAAACCGCGCTCCCACACTGTGTGGGAGAAGCAGTGTGTGAGGCTGCACTGCACTGTCAGCGGCTGGCCGGACCCCCGGGTCGTCTGGTAGGTCACAGACATACATAACAACCAATATTATATCTTTAAGTCTATCCTTTCTGTCCCCTTCTCGCCTGCCTATTCATCTGTGCTTGTACTCATCTCATTTAGATGGCTTTATCTATTATATTTGTCATTTTCAAGTTCTTTCTTTTTCCTCTGGTCTGTTTTCTTTCATGTTTGCTGCCTCCTACTAAAAGGTACAAAAACAATGTTGCCATCGACCCTGTTGGCCATGGTGACAAGTATAAACTTGAGAGCAAATACAACATGCACTCACTGGAGATCAACAGGTAGGTGTAGCTTCCCCTACAACTATAACAATAAAATCTTCCTAAAAACATTCAACACTGTAACAGGTTTTGTAAATATAAATGAAACATTGCCACATTTGTTAGACTTTGTATACATCTTAGCTTGTGTAGACTTATTTTTCTTCTGTTATTTCGACTTGTAATTAGCTAGCTATTAGCCATGCTCTTTTCCGCAGGCTAAGGGAAAAATGGCATCCTGGGCCCTTTCACTTTCCTGCCAGTACAATTATCTAGCAATAGACCATAGACTATAGAAAAGCATGGAATGTAAGCAGTTCCTCCTATTGTGTGAGGGAAAATGGGATGTTTAGATTCATATTTACTGCTGTCTGCCATCTTAAGCGCTTAGCTACCAACTAGCTAACAATCAAGTGGGGTTTGATTCATATATTTGATATTTAATTGGATCAATGTATGTAACTGTAATGCCAATCTACACTATCAACATGAATTAAGGATAGGATTTAGTTTGGACTTGTTAAATGTAACCAGTCAAAGTACTTTTTTTACATGTACTTCACAATACTCTAAGATCAAAGACCATTTCAACACACTCAAAATTACAAGAAGAAACAAATGAGATGATATTTTTTCCATTTTAGTAGAATATGTCGGCTGCAGATACTTTCCTGTGAGACCCTCACCACCTGGTGCACATGACATCAGCAGTGGTGTCTATTTATAACCAAAGTATTCAGGAGATATGGAACGCTTACAGCCAGGGCTCACATACTTGGTATTATTTACATGTTTGGGAGGGCTGAGGTTGAAATGGGGGAAGGGCACAGTACAGTAGATTCTGCTTATCATGGGAATTGATCACCTGATACTCTCCTCTTTCAGATGTGATTTCGATGACACGGCCCAGTATCGTGTCTCTGCCATGAACTCCAAGGGAGAGCTGTCTTCATTTGCCTCTGTCGTTGTTAAGAGTAGGTTTCAGAAAGTCAGACAATCATCACACCCCAATTCACCTATCATGAACAAGCTCCACACAATGTGTTAAAAGAACAAGAAAAGCCAGTAATTATAGCTCATTGTACATCAATTAAATCAGTAAATAAGTAAAGTTGCCAAATGTAAAGGCTTTTTCTGAATAACTGCAACATCTCTTAAAAGTAGGAACCAAATATACTTGTACTTGTAAGTTTCTATTAATGAGAGGCCTAAGCCAGTGAAACGTGGCAAATGTCATGGTGTATTATCTCATATTTTGATATCTTGACAGTATAATACTGTGCACACTATGTGTAATGCTGATTTTCTCCATAGGGTTCAAAGGTGATATGGATGAGTCCCTGCCATCCCCTAGACGTAAGTGTGAATTTATGTTAAATTGTGGGATTCATGTTGCATTCATTGATGTACGACCACTACGGAGTAGAAGAACAAGATAAAAAACACAGCATAAACATACTTTGTCTTGTTAAGCTGTTTTTAGCTAATGTGTTAGCATATTGCGTTAATTTATACCTCTAGCAGACTCTGAGCTACGTTAGCATTTGCTTTTCTGCCAACCTGAGGAATATATGTCATAAAATGTACTCTCCTTTTAGCTCTGTTTTTGTCTTCAACAGTTCTTGAGAAAGATGTTTGATTATTTTCACCAGCTATTTGCTAACTGTGTCTGTCTACTGTGCGCATGCCGTACAGCTGCTTACTTTAAGATGCTGAAAATATCTGCCCAATGCTGATGTAAGAAAAGTGAATGAGGCTCAACAAAGAAAACAATAGTGTAATAATGAAAACGATAGTAATAATGGTAATTATGCATTTATTTGTCATTTGATTTTTTTTTTTATATTATTGACTTTACTCTTGCTGGATATCTGCTTATACTGTGCACAATGATAAACAGTGAAGAGTGTGGGGGTTGGGGGCTGTGCACTACTGCACTAACAACTGTTCTGTCTCCTTGATGCTGCGGCAATAATACAGGGGGCAGTACTGAAGGTAACAGGGTCATGTGATCACTGTCACTGTTTGGTCTCTGCATGACCACTTGTCTGTGTACATGGTGTTCACAGTACTCCTTGTATGGAAAAATCTACAGGTTTTTCTGCATTTCAGAGTTGACACCTAGTTAAAGTATGCAACCTTGCAACCTTTCAACTAATTCCACATCTGAAATCACTGAATATTGAGTGATTTCTTTCAACCAAGTTTTTTCACAAGTTTGATGTGCTTCACTGTTTAATGCATGATAATGACGAAAACATCCACTTTTTGGGAGCACTGTTCTGTTTCATAGTCACTCTTTTAGCTCGTATTTGATGTTGTTCTTTATTCCTACGCATATGTCACGTGTTCTCTTCCCTACCTTTTTCTGTCTGGATGAAAAATGTCGATCTAGCTTATTGTTTGTTATTTGGATATGATTTTTGATGTGATAATGTTCTTTCGTAGTGAATGTTTTGTTCTTCCACTTGAATTGAACGCTAGTTCAACTCTTTGTGCTTGTGACGTGTGCAAAGCGTTTGCACATTAATGCCAGTTTAAGCTCTGACTAAAGCTGCTGTATCTTGCTCTGTTTGCAGATGGTCCCGTGTGTGAGTATGGCGTAAACTTCAAGACTCACATTGTTGATAAATTTGGTGTGACGTTTGGAAGAGAGGGTGAGACCATTAGTCTTGGATGTACAGTCATCATTTCCCCTGCCCTGCACCGCTACCAGCCAGAGATCCAGTGGTACAGAGACGGTAAGAAGATGAATTCAAAATATGGATTTACTCAGCCGCCCCAAACCATTGATCACTCATATAATTTTTTTTTAAAAAGTACAAAAGTATTGGCATCAATAAATACTTATTTTATCAAAAATACAAGCATTTGGCAGAATTGTTTCAGAATGAAAATATGAAGATCATTTGAATGATTGTGTTTCTTATCTTAACATTTAATATTGCATCATCATTTATTCATTGATTATACTTTTTATTAGGGATCAGAATCAGCAGAGTAACTAAGGTGTTTTTTATTAAATGAGGGGAGAAAACAGTGAATTATTTCCCTATGAATTGAAGATATCTTGAAGTATAGAATAGCAGAATATAGGAAATTACAGTACTAAAGTAAAGTACCTGGGTAAATATACTTTTCAGCACTACTCCTTATCTTACACTATGGAATGAGTAGTGATTTTGAATAAATAAAGATTTTTTGTGAATGTCCCTGGTTTGTATATTATTTTTTGAAGAGGATTATATTTGTATCACATGTTACTCAACCACCTTCTATTGTATTTCCCCAGATGTCCTTCTGTCTCCTTCTAAATGGTACAACATGCACTGGAGTGGAGATCACGCCACAATGACCCTCACACACCTGAACAAAGAGGACGAGGGGCTCTACACCCTGCGTGTCACCACCAAGTCTGGATATGAAACCTACTCCGCCTACGTCTTTGTCAGAGGTGGGTATGCCATCCGTAACGTATCCGTAAGAAATAACATGTCTTTGCACAGACATTTTCACCACCATTATAGTCAACCAAAGCTAAATGCAGATTGTTATTGCGGATTATGTCTTCAGGTCAAGGTCAAAGCAACAGCTTGTCCTCTGGCAGCTAATAAAAACACTACATTTAATAGTCAAATATGAGTGACTGGTTTTAAAGGATATCTTTATAGCAACAACACACAGTGGAAACTCTTTGGCATGGGTTTAAATCCTGTGGAAGTTGGTCAGGCAAGCTTATCTGTGGTGCCTTCAGAGACAATCTGACCTTTACAGCTTCAGCTCCTACACGCTGAGTGTGAAAAAGCTAGAAAATAGACCCTGTTGTTGACTCAGAGTTGCCCAGGGGGGAAAAAGGAGACCAGGTACAGTCTCCATAACAAAACGCTATATGAGCCTGGCTGCCGTTGGGCTATTCTCAGAGAGCTATGGAATGACCCTGGCGCAGAAAGATACTGTAAATATCTGCTAGACGAGAAACAATAGGCTGCCCAGTGTCCTTATTGGTCTGTGTTTCTCTTCGTGAGCGAACACAGTTTGTCTTTTAAGCTGCATGTATACACACTCACCCAGTTGATATTTGCTCCTATACTTAATGATGCAACTCTTAGGTGGCCTGGAATTACCCCATATGTTTCTTTAAGAGTCATCACTCTTATCCCCTTTCACTCCGGGGGGAGTGGGGGTGGGGGGGATACAGCTAATTCTGTCCTCCTCTCGCTGATTGCTCTTGGCTTGTGTTTAAAGTGAGGACCAGAAACATTGCTGGCATCAAGGGCTGAGCCCAAACCGTTCAACATACGTCACACAGCTCATTTTAAACCCACCAGTAGAGGCAATCAATTATAGACACACTTTAAATGAAAGATAAAGAAATATGAAAAAGAACAGTGTGTAAAACAAAAGAAAGTATGCATACCGTTATTTTATTGTTGGTGTTTCTGGACGTGTTAGATTCTGAAGCTGAGGTTGAAAGAGCTCCTGGGGCCCCTCTGGATGTGCGCTGCCTGGATGCCAACAAGGATTACATCATCGTCACCTGGAAGCAGCCAGCTGTCGATGGGGGAGACTCCATTTTGGGCTACTTTGTGGACAGGTAGGTCAATATGGTGCTAGACATTTCAGTAAATTGTCTCACAGGAGTGGTAATCTGGAAAACAAACCTCAAAGATTTAAGAGAATGGGAGAACAGCAGTTTGAACATAATTGTCTGTGACATTACACTTTTTTCTGTTTGTGATTTGTCTCTAAAACTCTGGTGTACCTCATACAAATGTTTTAATGAAGCAGCTTCAGTGGCTTGCTTTGCAAATTACAAAACATAATGTATTGAAAACATTTTTAATTGCAGGACTTCTTTTTAAATGAAAATATGAGGGAACAGTAAAATAATGTATTTAAGTACTATTTGAAAAGTCTGGTATGAAACCAATAGATACCAATCCCAGATGCAGTACTTATTACTTAAAATAACCTTTATATAAATACAATAGCAAGAATGTGGCTGACTGGTATTTTAAAATCAAACAGCTGCACTCAATCCTTTGCACACATTCTCCAAATCTGGGAGTCAGTAATTATTTAGGAACATTTTGTTAAAAACTGACGTATATTATAACCTATTGTAATTTTATTCAGATGTGAGGTTGGAACCAACCACTGGGTCCAGTGCAATGACACTCCGGTTAAGTTTGCCCGTTTCCCCGTCACCGGTCTGGTGGAGGGCCGCTCCTACATGTTCCGTGTGCGTGCCGTCAACCAGAATGGCATGAGCCACCCGTCCAGGGTCTCTGAGCCGGTGGCTGCCATGGACCCCTCTGACCGCGCCCGCATTAGAGGTACTGCGGCCTTTTAATGTCTGTCAGCTAGAATACAGACTATCTCTTATCCATATTTAAAGAGCTTTACGAATTCATTCAAGTAAGATAGTACAACATGAGTCAGGTACAATGCTATTGGCTGATATAGGCTCTATTTTTTTTCCTATTGTTCCAGAACACTATTTAGACCTTTTGTTTCTTTTTCCTAATGTATTTTTTTTTTATGTGAAAAAGCTTTTTCCACTGCCACTACCTTTGATCAAATTCTGCTCAGAAACACGTTATGATTTCAAATTGGAACCTTTTTTATTTTTTCATAAAATATATAATAATTTGAAATCCCTAATTCATAACTTTTCATGATTTTGATCAGGTGCCTCTGCTCCTTGGACTGGCCAAATCATTGTCACAGAGGAGGAGCCTGCAGGTAGGACACTTATTTTTGACAATTGCTGATTAAATCAAGTTTGCTCATTTAAATGGTGTCTTCAGGGACTCATACTTTATCTCTTGACCTTCAGAGGGCATTGTTCCTGGCAGACCTCTTGAGCTGCAGGTGACAGAGGCCACCAAGAACTATGTGGTGCTGAGCTGGAAGCCCCCTGGAGACAAAGGCCTTGAGGGTGTCATGTACTATGTGGAAAAAGTAAGTTATTGACCATTTTCCTATTTGTGACTTATTAAGGAAAAACTCACACTTCGTATCTTTGCTTCAGTGTGTTGCGGGCTCAGACACCTGGCAGAGGGTGAACACTGAGATCCCCGTCAAGTCTCCTCGCTTTGCCCTGTTTGATCTTGCGGAGGGGAATTCCTACAGCTTCCGCGTCCGCTGCTGCAACGCTGCTGGTGTCGGCGAGCCATCTGACCCAACGGAGGCCACAACTGTTGGAGATAAACTTGGTTAGAAAACACAAATGCAGGCATCATCATAGCATTATGTCCCATTTACAGTTAATGACACCATGCATTCTGGCCCACAGATATCCCATCTGCCCCAAGCAAAGTTGTCCCTATCAGAAACACAGACACATCCGTTGTTGTGTCTTGGCAAGCATCCAGTGAAGCTAAGGAGTTGGTTGGATACTACATTGAGGCGAGCGTTTTGGACAGCAATGAGTGGGAGCCATGCAACAACAAGCCTGTTAATGTTACCAGGTAAAACAACTCCTTTCCTGTTAACCATATAGAGGAGTTTGTATATAAAAACAATGCCATTATCATATTTGAAACACATTCACAGGTTCATCTGCCATGGTCTGACGACGGGAGAGAAATACGTGTTCAGGGTGAGGGCAGTGAACGCAGCAGGGCTCAGCCAGTTCTCCCCAGAGTCTGAGCCTGTGGAGGTGAAGGCTGCTATTGGTAAGTGAAACTTTACAGGAGTAAGAACAAAGTAAAAAATATAGGTCATCCTGTTTTTTAGATGTGTGGTTTTAGGAAAAATCCACCTATAGAAAAGCGTTTTAATATTGTTTAAAAGTCAGCCTTTGGTATTGCCGTTTGAATATATGTAGAAGTATGTTTTTTAACTTGTATTGGCTGTAACAAAAATTATGTTAGGATATATTATATTAGGACATTCCTTAAAGTTATAAAAGACATGCAAGAGTTTGCATTTTTACATGATGTCTTCAGTTTGTTATACCATCAGCATCTACACTCCCACACTTTCTCCACCATGGTTCCACCCTGTCAACCTATCACGTTGTTCTGCACTGGTATGTGCCCCACCTACCCACCACCATGTCCAGTCACATACACCCTCCCTCCTCCTCCTCTTCCTCCTCCTCCCTGCACAGCCCTGAGGCGGGTCAGGACTTGTAGACTTCCTCTAATTTGGGTCATTCTGATCCAACTCAGTGGTTGTTACAAACCAGCCCAACGTCACACACCACCACCATCTCCCATTTCCCTCACTTTTCCTGGGCACAAGGCGTGTCGGCAACCCCACATGGTGCTAAAGGTACCGTCACACACACCTCCCCGCTCCATCGAGCCCCTTAATGTGTGTCTGTGTCTGTTTAAACCTCTCATATCGCAACTAACCTGGCAGTGGAATTGCTCTGATCAATTGGTGCCTGAATTTGAACACCAAAGAAAAACGCTATGGCTAAAATAACAGTATTTTTTCATTTATAAGTTAGGTCATGATACAGCACATTTCTGCAAAATCATATATATAGTAATAACACCCTATTCAATAATCTATACATCCCCCAAAAAATATCCTCAACTTGGACACCAAGCAATAATTTAGTATCATCACCTTATCAAGATAAAGATAAAGATAAGATAAACAATAAAATGGAATAGGATAACATACCAATTCTGCTGCTGTTATAATCGTCCTTATCTCCTGCATGTGGTCCCTAAAAACTCTTGGCATTTCAACCAAAATAACTTCCAGCCTTTGGATGTTGCTCATTCACTGGCAAACTTTTAACTGAGCAACTTTCTCCGTTTTCCCTCATGAAACACACTCACTTAGTACAAAATGCCAGTGTGTTTCTCTTCAGGCAGACATATTGGTAATGTTTTTAGGAAACAAGGATTTCTACTTTGTTTAAATACAAAGAATTGAATGGGCTGTTAAACTACTGCCTCCTTTCTTAAAAACGTAACTCACAGTACAATTAAAGTACATGATATACATAGATAAGCAACAGCTCAAAGCTAAAAACAAATACAATACTTCATATCAACTTTTTAATCTACAGTGTTTTTCATAGAGGGTTGCTATAAAGCCTGCACGCAAACAGTCATTGCCTGTTCTTTTTCAAACACCTGCATGCTCTCATAATCCAAAATAAAGTCTTGTCACCTCCTCACATGGATGTCACTTGTTGGCCATCTTGTCTTCATTTTTCACTCCCAGTCAGATGAAGACATTTCACAGTATTTGTAGGCTGATAGAGAGAACTGTTTATGTTTCTGCTAGTCTTCTCGACTTGACTTGTGAACAGATCTTGTGCCTGTTTCTTTAAAGAGCCTCTTTTGCTTTTCTCTGCTAACTCCTGTAGGGGGCGGCATCCCTCATGGTGTGTTGCCGGAGATGGGTCCGGGGGGTAACGCTGGCCAACTAACTGAGCACAGGCCAAGCTGGACGGGCACGCATGAAAATGTCCAGTCCCCCCTTTACACTAAGCCCAATAAAGCTCAGGCTGACACTAAGGCCAGGCAGGGGGCTGGGCCAGATAGCTCAGCACTCGCACAGCCTGACCCCGTCGAAAATAAACACAAGGGGGGCAAGAAAGGCAGTGTGTCCTGGGCCCCTGACCTGGCAAAAGACCTGGTCTCAGAGTCTGTGTCAGACTCAGTTTCTGACTCACTAACTGCACAATTAGAACCTGTCACTGCTGAGGTTCAGGATCAGGCTGTAAAGACAGTCAATGAGCCTGAGGCCAAACAAGCACGTAAGTTCCCCGTAGATGCTTCTGATAATCTGGAGACTGCAAGGCCCCGGAGAGAGTTGGAAGGTGAGCACTGGTCACAGATGGACATCTTTCTGTCAAATCCAAAAGAAAAACACAAAAAGCAAATCCCCCCTCTTAGCATTCTTAGAAATATGACTTCATCATGTAATAAAAGAAAGATTTCCCCTTATGAAAACAGTTTTGCAATGTTCTAAATGTATCTGCTTTTGATATATATGAATCACTAAACAGTTGGTAAAGTTCTCTACTGGTATTCTTCTTTTTAAGGTAAGTCGCTGTATAACACACCAAACTTTAACTCAACACAGTCCCGCTTGTCAATAGTTTTAAGTCCACCACTTTCCCACAACCTCCTCACTTGGAGGCTCAACATCGGTCACCCGGCACCTCGGGACCTGCCATCACATTCAGTACTCAGAGCACTATGTCATGGCAGGAGCCGGCTAATCACACCCTGTACTTGAAAAGTGGGCCATCCAATAAGAGCACTACACTTGTGACCTAAGACCTTTTTGGTATAACTGTGTTCTCCTTTAGAAGTCCACGTCTCAGACATTTTACTACACATCCCTTAATAGGAAAGAGTATCAAGTTAAAGTGACTATTTGTGTCGAAAAGCCATTTTGTTATCCCCAAGTTACAAATTATTGATTTTGGGCTGTGTCAAATGTCGGAATTTTCATACCACAAATTGTACTGTATAACTATCCAACCCATTAGTTCTTTTTGACAAGAGGTAGACAAGAAGAAGAATTCCACATCTGTCTGTAAAATATGATGCTAAACATGGTTCGCTTAGCATATTGCATTAGCAAGACTGGATACGGGCGTCTCATTTGCCCGGCGTTGTGACTTCCTGGATGTCTGGTTGTCACATTTTTATTTAATTTAAATTCAACAAACAAGTTACAACATTATAGTGAGCTTTATAAAGGTTTAACGTATTCAATGTTCCAGTTGTCATGCTAAGGTAAGCTAGCTATCCTGGTTAGCATGTAGACCTTTCAATCTAACTTCCAAAGCAAAGAAGTGTATTTTCTAAAATCTGACACAGTTCTTCTAAGCATATCTTAATACAGAAGCCTTTTCAAAAAGGTTAAAGGTGCTATTGTGTTGTGGGTTGGAAAATATTCTGTTACAGCAGGTACTCAACTAGGCTACTATTGTATTTAAAGTTATAAACACTTCAATGATTTCAGTAGAATTTTGGCGAGGGAAGAAAGAGAATTTAAATGTAGTCAATACGTGCTGTAAATGGAACAGTTTTCAGTAATGGGACACTGAAGCTTAGCAGCATCGACAAAGCTACAATAAACTCATGAAATGCATTTTTACAAGCATTTCAAAGGATTATTAATGAATTCCAATACATTGAATACAGCTGGATGGAGATGTAAGAATACATTTAAAAATTAAAAGTATCACCTCATTGTTTCAGTTTCCCATTACTTCACCCAGTTCCCCCTTGGGAGGCGTTATGGTGTTAATTTATGTTTTCTATCATCTCAGCCTCCCCTGCTCCACCCTATGGCATCACTGTCCTGGAGTGTGTATTTGACTCCATGGTGCTGTCATGGAAACAGCCAACATTCATCGGCGGTGCTGACATCACCGGATACTTCGTGGATTACCGTGAGGTCATCGATGGCGTGACAGGGAAGTGGCACGAGGCCAACATCAGGTCGATTAGCGAGAGGGCCTACAGGGTGAGTTATTAAATTCATAAAACCAAAAGGTTCCAAGTTTAAAAGGCTCTTATAACTAAGGGTCTGTCTTCATGTGTCTTTGTCTAAAGGTGTCTGATCTGAAGGAGAAGAGGAAGTATCAGTTCCAGGTGCGGGCAGCCAACATGGCAGGTGTCGGCATCCCTTCACTGCCCAGTGACACCTTCCTGTGCGAGGAGTGGACCATCGCTGTGCCAGGTTGGTTTGACCTACTGTTTCTAAAAAGTTATCTAATCTCTGTCCCTATACTTGATAAATGTGTTCTTATCCTCACTTTTACTTGAAGATGACAATCGGTTGTTAACATGTTCATATGAAATCAAGGAAGAACAAGGAGCAAAAAGTAGTATTCCTTTTTCTGTGTACACATGTAATCAGACCAACTGACCTTCAGATTTTGAAGCCTTGGGTTGCGTTCCAATAGTCCATTTAGTTTAGGAACCTTCCTAACCGAGTGAAATGACCCGGAAGTACGTCAGTGGCAGCCATGTTAAGTGCCGTTCCAATTCTCCAAATGAAAGGAAAGGAGGTTTCAAACTTCCTTTATAACCTCCTTTAGCTTAGGAACCACTGGACCTCCCGTACCGAAAGGAGAGGAGAAAATGCTGCCCCACAATGCCTTGCAGCCGCAGCATTTGCGTCACACAACAGTCGGCCGTTCACGGAAACAAACGATTATGACGGAGAAATTATATCATGAAAGTTACGGTGCTTATTAAGCATTTAAAACGTATGTGGTAAGTTGCCAAAGTGCTTTGTTTTGAACGTTCATCAGTATTATAATCAAAAAGAGAAATATGAACGTTAGTTTTGACTGAAATGATCAAATAAAGTCAACATTTCACTGAGCTGTGTGGGGTTTGTTCAACTTTTAAAAGATGTTTGAATGGTGATATACACAGTGACAGGTGTTAAAGACTAACGTTTATAATAAATACATTTGTATTGATTTTAAGATATTTTCATACAATCATACGTATTGGGATCATTTGTATTAATGTGGACCGGAGGGAGAGGGTGACGAGCATACATTTCACTTTCCTTTTTTATTTCAATTACAACTTTGGTCTTGAAGAATATGTTTCTCTGTTGTCCACGTTCATAAAGCATAAAGCAGCAGCATCAGAGCACGGTGCAGAGTCTCTAGATGAGTCCCTCGTTCTTATTAAACATCCATGTAGTCCGTTGTATAGAACACTGTAGTTTCCATAGTTTCACCACAGCAGCAGACGCACACAATGACGTCCGCTGGCGCATCATAAACACGTCAGATAGTGAAAGTGCATTCGGATTCTCTTAACATTTTTAGCGAAACTCGGTGTACCCCTTTCGCGAAGATTATATTTTTACATATACTTAATAGTAATAATAAGATAATAAATTCGTTTCATTAATCACACAAACTTAGAAAAAGATGTTCTAACTACACACACAATAACACGAAAGGGAGGTGCCGACGCCAGACCTATTTGGTTTTCAGTCAGAGGGAATTAAAGTATGGGGAATAGTAGATTAGGAACTGGAAGAACTCCCTTTCAGTGCCTCCAATGTCCCTATTCACCTATCCCTCTTAAAGTTAATAATAACGTTACAATATTGTTTTGGAGACCNATCTATATAAATGAAAATAATTGTGTCAGTTAAATCTGGCAACATTGATCTTATAATCCTATAAACTAACAGCAACCTAACATGTATATCACCTGGTTCAATGCTATGGTTAGATGAAGTGTTTCAAGCTGAATGTTAATATTGTAAACCCTTTTTATTTGCAGTGTTCAAGGAGCTGCAGAAGGAATCAGAGTTCCAGATGAAAGAATGGGTCAGAAAGCAAGGTACACTCACGATTGAAAAATAATGGGATATTGCTGATTTATTAGTAATGAAAATAGATGTTTCTGATTGGTTATTGATTTAAATGGTATCATGTGTAATTGCAATTTCACTCACATGGAGGTGCTATTACACAAGAAAGCTTTGAAATAACACACGCTTAATGTAGCCAACAACGGGGCACTTTCACCCAAGGTAATTTCCTATCTTCTTTCATCCCTCGCCTGCAAAGTTTTATAATCATCAAACAGGAAGAGGTCACCTCAACCTCCTTTTTAGACTAGGATCTTTTATAAATTGGTTTCCTGTATTCAGTTTTACAACCCCCTTATCATTGTTCATTTCTCAGAGCACCCTCACACACACTTAGTAGTTTCTTCTTTAATGGGCAAGCATAGTAACTCAAATGGCCTGTTATCTACTGTTCAGTTGGATAATTCTACCTTCTTTTTAATAGTAAGTCTTTGCTAATGTATTCCTTATAATAGTCAATTGATAAAAACGTAGGTTATAAAACAGATTTAGGTTATGCATTTATTATGGAAAAGACCCACTTGCCTTCAACATTGGAACAAGCTAAACATTTTTTATTTTAGCCTTAAAAGTTGATTTCCTGTTGGTCAACTAATCAATCTTTCAGTTAAATGTTTCAGCTCTATGGTAATCACTGTTCATTTTTTATTTTTTTTACAAGTCTTTTTATTTCATTAAAGTATACAGTAATCGATGCCATTTCCTTTATATTGTAATATCACAGTACCACAGTACACTCACTACACTCCCCCCTCCCTCCTCTCCTCCACCCGCACATGCCCACACGTGCGAAACCAAAAAAAAAAATGCTTCTCAATATAACTTAAACAACAGAGCCATGAAAATAAACATAAAACGAAAAAAAAAAAAAACAGTTTTCACTGTTCATTTTTAACTGACCTCTTTCTTCCAGGTCCTCACTTTATCGAGTATTTGGGTTATGAGGTGACACCAGAGTGCTGCGTTGTTCTGAAATGCAAGGTAAGAAAGAACTTTAAACTTTTTTTTCATGCTTACTCGTTTAAAAAGCTACTAGTTTAATTTAATCAAATCCTATTTATGTAATGTATTTCAGGTTGGAAACATGAAGAAGGATACCTCTGCGCTGTGGTACAAAGACGGACACGAGATTAAAGCAGACGAGAATCTGGGATTCACAGAGGGAGTGCTGAAACTGGAAATTGCTCAGGTAGAGAATATGAGGAAGGAAACCTGTATGAAGTGTGACATTTTCTGTGTATTTATGTGTATTTCTGTACTGTATATTTGTCACTGAATTAATTTGCATATATGAATGTTAATAGTGAAATCATTGCACAGCTCTGTTTATGTCATGCCTCAAAAATATATGGATTCTCCCCAATGTTGGTCCACAAGAACAGGTTGGAAATAAATACAATGAACAATTAAGGGACATTTCATTTACTAATTACACTAAAACGTTTGGATATAAATAACCAGCATTTAAAATGAATCTGAAAAATATATTTTAATGCCATATCACGCAATGTCTGTTATCACTCTCTTCCTCTATCTGTTTTGTCTTCTTCTTCTTCCATTCTCATTTCTCTCAAATGTCATCAAATCCGCTTTTCCATCTCAGAACTCATTCCCATCCAACTGTCACGTCTCTAAACGCATGTCCTATTATCAACATCCCTCCTGGTGGTCTAATATTTAAACGTGATGTCACATGTGTCCCATTTCAGCGCGACTCCCCTGCAGACAAAGCAGACTATGCTGACGACATAATCTGGAGAAGACTTAAAGTTGGGAACAGTTATCTATTGTCGCCACGGGCCAACGGCCACTTCTGGTTTTTCCGTTCTGCCTGAGAATGCTTAATTTATTTATACATGTTTGTTTGTTTGTTCGTCCGCTTTTTTGCTTTTGCGTCATATATCTGTTCCTGCAGCACCCCTAGAAGAAGAGAAAAGCTTGCCTTTTCAGATGAATACAAATTAAATTCTTTGTTCAGCGTTTTTATGAATTTAACGCTCCTGCTCTTTTTTATCAGATTTCCAAGAAAGACTCTGGTGTGTATGAGGTTGTTCTGAAGGACGACAGAGGGAAGGACACTTCCACGTTGAATTTGACCGATAAAGGTAACTTTTAAGTCACAAACTGACCTAAGCAATCTGACTGTAGCAAAACATATAACTTAGCATGATCAAATGTTGTTCTCTTTAAGGTTTCAAAGACTTGATGAATGAAGTTTTCAGTTTCATCGGTAAGAAGATACATTCATTTTACAGAAATTCAACCTTTTGGTTCCTCATTCATTTTCGATTTTAAATTTCACCCCCAAAAATAATATTCTAATTGCAGCCAATTCCTCCACTCCGCTGAAGATCACAAGCACAGAAAATGGCATCCGACTCTACACCTTTGTCAGCTACTATAACGATTTACTCCAAGTGACATGGCACTACAAGTAGGTCATGACTCTAAAACTATATAAGCATGTACCGGTAGACATTTCATAAAGTGTACACACTATAAGATATTCAATTATGCTTATTTATTTAAGAACGATTACTAATTACACCTGGCAGTAAAATGGCTAGTCCTAATACTTTCTGAAGCCTTGTGCCCTTTTAACCATGGTCAAATGTGTCAGTGGTTAGCCCACCTCATGTTTCTGCACCTCTCTCTGACAGGGATTCGGCCATCTCCTTCTCTGACCGCATTAAGAGTGGAGTGGTGGGGGAGCAGCTGTGGCTGCAGATCTCAGAGCCCTCAGAGAAAGACATGGGCAAATATGCCATTGAGTTTAACGATGGGAAAGGTGGCCTGAGGAGGACCGTGGAGCTGTCTGGTCAAGGTAAGACCACCAACATATTTAAAACTCCAAGTCACATGGATTATACACTTGTTTTTAATACCAATGTTTTACATTTGGGAAGTATATTAGACTTTGTGTAGTTCTTTCTATTATTATTGTTTTGTATTGTTGACTAGAATCCATATGTTTTGTTTTGCAGCATTTGACGATGCTTTTGCAGAATTCCAGAGACTCAAGTAAGTTACGTTTTCCTAAATAGCTATCATATTTTTGTAATCACAACATGCATGAAAACCACATTTTGTATATTTAAACCTACAGTGTTTTTAGAAACCTCATGCAAAAGTATGCAGGCAGATTAAGCTCTCACTTTCAGTTCTGATTCTCTCATCTAATTTGTTGTTTCCTCTTTCTTTTTATTACCTCATCAGAGCTGCTGCTATTGCAGAGAGAAGTAAGTGTGTTTGCCTTTGTTTTTGTAACGTTTTAAGCCTGGATGAGGTAGTGATTGAATATCAAGAAGACCTGTCTGTTGTTTAGAATACTGGGAAGTGGAGATCAAATTCTGACACATCATACAACTCTGAGTCCTTTGAATTGCATTATTAAGCTTCCACTGATAATGTTTTAAGCAATGTAACATCCACACTGTATATTAGGATCAATATTAATATATGTAATGTGCAACATGGTGGTTGACTACTACCTTATTGAGGTTAACATTGTTTCTTTCAGGTCGTGCTCGAGTAGCAGGAGGCCTGCCGGATGTGGTCACTATACAGGATGGCAAGGTAATCTGTTTAAACTAATAATATGAGAAAGCAATTAGACCATTTTAGTATTACTGCATAATTGTACGTGTGTTTGCTATCCTCCATCCAGGCCCTCAATCTCACCTGCAACATTTCGGGCGACCCCGTGCCAGAGGTCACCTGGCTGAAGAACGACAGGGAGATCACGTCCGACGAACACTGCATTCTCAAGTTCGAGTCAGGCAAGTTCGCCAGCTTCACCATCACCGGCGTCAACATCTCGGACTCTGGCAAGTACAGCATCCTGGTGAAGAACAAGTACGGCACGGAGAGCGGGGACTTCACCGTAAGTGTCTTCATCTCCGAAGGAGCGGCCAGCAAGAAAAAATAAAGGCGGTCCAAATATTGTCGTAAATATGTATAAATGAAAAAAACACTGGAAACAGTTAAAAAAGAGAAACAAAAGTGGATGTGTTGTAGAATATAGCATTTAAAGGTGCTGAGTCTGAAATGAAATGTCAACAGAAGTTAAGAAAGAGTGGGGTGATGAGTTAAAATCATAAAAATACACATTCGGTCAATAATAACAAATCTAACATCATGTCCAATCAAAAATGTTACTGGTGCAATTTTAGTTTTTCTTTGTGTAAAGTTGTGGCATGCAGGGAGGCAAATGTTTGCATTCATATTACTTATGAAACATTACTTGACAAAACAATGCCAAATATATAAGTTTAAGAGATGTTGTGCTGATGGGATGCAACGTAAAGTCAAGGAAATTAAATCATGTGTTGATGGTCTATTAAAAAGCAAAATGTTATTACATGTTTTATTCCATTTGCTACAAATTAGGTCTTATTTTACTGCCAAGCAACAGTTTGAACAGCTTGTCTTTCAGGAAGCAATGCATTATATCATATTAGAATTTAGTTCAATTGTATGACAAAGTAGAAAGGATTCTGAGACTCAAATGATTGGTCAAATTAAATAGTAGTAAACTAATTTGTTGCAAATGGGTTTAAACATGCACTGTGTCATTTCATCACATTTAGCCCTGTTTTGTAATAATACACAATCATTTGAATGTTGTGCTCATGACATCACGTCCATTGTCTCCCTGTTAGTAGTGAACACTGTATGTTTGCCCACTCTCCTATTGTTATTTATGTAATTCACCATTGTTATGATATCCCTTCACATTAATGATTTTGATGCCTCCTTTATTGTGATGATAACGATGCCACTGTAATGAAGACTGTTGGATCACTGTTCATTAACAATGGATATTGCATCACTTCTTCCTTTCCTGATTAGACTAATAAAAATGAGCATGTACTCCCCACTTCCTCTTTGAGTTGTCTCACTTTGGTTTGAAGCCTACACCCTTCACTATTCACTCTCTCATTTCAGTTGACTCTTACCTTTTTCACTCCCAGTCACGATATCTGTAGACTTGGACTCCTCAACGATATACCACCAGCATGGAGAAAAACCCATCCCTCTACTGAAATCAATGTGTGCTCCATTAATGATGCCCTGACAAAAAAAAAATCAAAAACACTTTTAGGGAGCAGAAAAAAATCAAGCTGTTCTGAAAGTAATTGAGAGAAAACGAATGTTGTTTCAACGTTTTGTCTGGTTACCAGAAGATTTTTTTATACTTGATACAGTATTCAGGTTTTTCACATGAGGACATAACCCTGTAAAAGTGTTTGTATGGACTAGATAGATTGATAGATAGATATCTATCTATCAATCTATCTATCTATCTATCTATCTAGTCCAGATAAGATGGATACGTACTTTATTGATCCCAATTTGGGAACATTTTTGCATTGCAGCAGCATAAAAAACAAGGCAAGGTAAGAGAAATAAAGACACAAAATAAACAATCCAAAATATTTCTGAAGTAGAAATAAAATAGCTTTTAAAAGTAAAAAAATATACATGTGGAAATTTCCAATAACAAAATATAATGCAGGATATTATATGTACATTCATTTAGCAAGAAATTGATTATTCAAACCACCTAACATGATATTCAGTGAGCTTTTGAGATGCTGGTGGGACAATCTTTTTTTTTTTACAAAACAAATCTAGTTCTCATTCATAGCATTCTTTTCGATGTCTTACTATGCCGGTATACGAAGGGAGGCGCATCTCGTGCTACTCTGAGAACCGGGGTTACACAAGTAACCTAAAGTTATTCCCACTACTTAGTAGTCCTTATTCTAAGTTTAACTTCTCCTGTTATTTATTTGATATTGATATCGATCTTCTCATCAAGAAACTATATATCTCAAAGTGTCAAACAGGACTATTGTATGCCAAGTACTAAGTGCTGTCTTTTTGGCTATTTAGACATCATTTTAAACATTGAAGAAGAAATAATACTGATGAAGGTTCTTATTAGAAAGTGGGCCGAAATTATCTGAAGAATCGGAATGCACTCGACATGAAGCAATATCATTCCATGTGTTTTTAGATATCATTTTTTCATCAGGTGAATATACATTTGGATAGATTATAAATGTTTGGAGTCAAGAGTATCCAGGTCACAGGCAGTCATTTATAGGTCTGACCTCACTGAACGTCCTGGGTGAGTAGAGGACTTCATTCTTCGGCTGCTGTGATGGTTATTTCTGGTTAGAGCAGGTCTTTTAATACATGGCGACGTCTGACTCCAGTTCTCTCCTCTCAGGTGGAGACCACAGATGGAACACCTGACCTGGGGGTGACGTCATACTGGACTGATGCAGACGGAAACGTGGTGTTTGGCCCAAACACCCCAAAGGAGAAGATGAACACCACAGTCACTGGAACGAAAACCCCAAAGCGGAAGGGTGAGAGCTTAAAATAAATATGGCTGAAACATTACAGGATGGCATCATTTTGTCAATAATTAATGAATGAATGTTCTTTTGCAGAATCTGTAGCTAGGAAACTTCCAATGGAAAAGGTTGGAGACACAGACGAGGAGAAGGTTGCAGTTAAACTCAAAGCTACAGATTCAAAACAAACAATAGATGCAAAGGAAAAAGTTGCTGAAAAGCCTTTGACTTCTGACCAATCAGAAGCCTCCGTGAAGCTTGCAGGCAAAGTGGAGGAGCCCGGACCAGTATCTGAAAAACAGCCAGAAGTCACTGAGCAGTGAAGAAAGTATTTATTATACTCTCATATACATATATATATTACAAGTTTGATGTGGGCTTTTGTGCTTTATTGATGTGTTTCCAGTTATCCTCACTTAGACGTTACATTTTCTCTTATAAAATATTAATAATGATTCCACAATTGTTTAAAAGATTAAGTATCTTTTAGAATATTACTTTTTTATGATGCACTAATAATAACACTCTACAGAACAATGTTTTTATGGATTGTCTGCTTTAGATTTGGATATATGTCTTCTGTTTCTGTTTCTTAATTTTAGCTTGAATAAAGATTCCATTCACACATGTATTAGTTTTAATTATCATCCTTATTAGTATACCGTGCCGGAAGACTTGTAGATATACAATATACAGGCAGTGTGGAGGCTTATGCGAACGTGAGGCCCTCTAGTAGGGAGTAAGAACAAAGCCAACATGGGAAATTCTTGGGGTTAAACAGGGCAGAAATAATTCAAATCAACATGTGCTAAAGAGGTCTAGTGAAGACAATGGTGCAGTGAGGGGAACTTGCATCAGTTATTAAATACAACATTCTGATATTCATTCAAAAAAAATGTTCTTGCCAGAATACTTTGTTATTGATTATTATTGAGATTAGAAAAAAGCAGATAATAGCAATAAATATTGCTAACTGACACAATTGATAAAAATTGCAAAAAAAAAAGCATAGATAAATCAAAAAATTCTAAAAGATCTAACATTATAGTTGCTTAAACTTTACAAGACCTGTGTTATATGCAAAAGTATCCTAACTTGTATGTGGCAAGGTCCCCAATTTAGGAAATTCCTGTGTAAACATCCAGTTATCTGACTCAGCAGACATGTATATGGGGAACTGAAACATTCTACTTCTCCTCCAGAACTATTAGATGGTAGGCTACTTTATTGTTCCTCTGAAGTTATAATAATAATAAGACAGCTGGTTTCACACTGCCCTTTCTTTAGGCTGAGGAGTCCCAATACTATGCAGCACTTCATTCACCTGCATGAATAAATTGTAGCATAGTGAATCTGCATCAACTCTTCAATCAGTTTAAACAGGGTAAATATGTTCTTGTAGATGTATCCTTTTTTTAATTTAACAATTTGGTTGTGTTATTTTTAGATTCTACCTCATCTGCACCAAATGAGGAGTCAAGTTTTATTATTAAATGTAGGCTACTGACATTTTGAATGCATTGCCTTACATGGAAATATAAAGCACATGCTTCATGATATGCAAGCTAAACCCACTTTTAATAAAAGTTGAAGACACCAGTTTGTCTTTGACATTTTAACAGGAAGTGAAACCTTGGAAATACATGAGATTAAATAAACAAAAGTTTATCAGAGGTAACGTAAAAAGGAAATAGAAACCAAGAAACGTATTTTACAGACGTACACTACACTGCCCTTAAGAGCAGAGAACTAGAAGAAACTGTAAACACGATATAGCTTTAGTCCATGGTGTAGTTGTTATTTTATAGGGTGTTAAGAAACACTTACATTTAATTTAATTTTAATACAAAATAATCTCATAATTTACCTCAGTATTTAAACTCATCAAACGTCCTCTTGCGTTGGTGTCACGTGCAGCCTGGGAGTTGAAGGGTCACGTGTTGCGGTCAGCCTCTTCACAGCAGCTGCAGCATCAGAAACTCACCGGCGGCGGAGGAACTGTCTCTGTGAAGGTAGGATGATTTATACAGCTACTCTTTCTCGTTTAACCGAATTTAACAGCTTTAAAAAATAAAACGAGACAGGAAGTGAATAAATGTTGGTTAATGTTGCAGCGCAGTCCTTGAAACCGTCTTAAAGTCATTAAGCAGAATTTATGTAACCCATGAGCCGGTGTAATCCGGAATAAAATGTTATGATAGCGGATAGTAGCGGTAACAACTGACAACCACACTCTTTGTGCCAAGTAAAAAATAAAACGGGCATTTACTACTGTGTAACATGTTGTCTATAGATGTTTTGTTAAATTTACCATCCCTAGCTGTCCCAAAACATAAGCATAATTTTTTTAATAGCTACCTGAAGACTGAACATCTGTCCAGGTGAACAAATGGGACTATATTTTTGGAAATATCATTCACATTATGAGCTTGCTAACTTTTTATCATAGGTTTTACATTCAATGCATGGCTGATGTTATTAAGGAGTTATCATGTGATTGCTTTTAAGACCATTTTCTAAAAAAGTGATAAAGAGATAAGGATCCTGATTTGTATAATAGGCCTTTATATCAGTGCATTGTATTAGCCTATAGACTATCTCAATCGAGAGGTGAAAGTCATTGTAAACTGAGGTTAAGGCTATTTTAACCCGTGCCTTTTCTTCCTTAAAGTGCACATCAAATGGAAGTAATTATAATACTTCACAGCTTTAGTTTCATTATTAACAGTTACAGTGTATGAGTCAAAACAATGTGACACAATTCTGGTCCAAACAGCACTGGCTGACTCAGAGTTACATTGGGACACTTGGGACACAGTGAGCAGGACAAACATGCTCTGACAGGGATATATACATTGGTCCTAATCTTATAAACAGGATTAACACGTCTTAAATTCTTCCCAGAGTGCCCAGAGAGAGATCTGGTTGTGCTGGATTTGTCCTCGTCGAGTACAGGGCATTTTGTATTGAAGCACAAAACAAAGCTTTAGAGGTTTGGTCATTGTTATTCTAATTGTGCTGTATGCATGAAGATGACTTGATTATTGTCTTAGTGAGAAGCTTAGTACATTTGATTCCTGTGAATGAAACTAAGACACAGGATATATATTTTTACCAGTTTTCTGGTACCATCACTTTTGCTTAAAAATATTTCAATATTTGTACTAATGTTTTTTTACTGGTTTATCGTAGTTTTTCCCCCTCTAATAATAAACTGAATTATTTATTTATGTTTTACTTTTTGTTGGACACACAAGCAACTTCATCATATCAAGAAGATCCAATTTTGAACTATTTTAGTCTTTTACATTTTAGAGACCAAGCAATTCATTGATCAATAATGTACACAACTGAATCATGGAAAGTTTGGTAAGTACTTCTAATTTTAGCAAATTGAAACCAGACAGACAAATGGCAGAGTCATATACATCTTCAGGCTTGAAGTGCTTCAGTAGAGGGTTCTACTGTACATGAAGTGCTGTGGGAGTCTAACTAAATGTGTTGTTGTGTGTACACCATGCAGATAGTTTGTAGTCAGCTCACCAGAGAGATCAGTTTTGCAACGTTGCTATCACGGTCGATGACTCTCATCTAGACTCTTCTGCTTTGTCCAATAAATGAGCACTTTCACTGTACAATGTGCTGTGGTTCACTGAGGGGGAAGCCACTGCAGGAACACTACACTCTGACACTACTATCAACTCGGGGCATAACACTCCGGATGCTTGCTGTAACCTTGGTCGGTTATTAAATCATTCAGTTACAGCTCTGAATCATATTTAATTTATGAAAATGTCAATATTGTATAGTTATTTGGTCAAGACTGGATGGATTTCCAGATATGCATGGTCCCCAGAGGATGAAGCCTACTGACTTTGATGATCCCATGAATTTCTCTAGTAGTGTTCAGTTGTATGTAGGAAAAATATCTCAGCAGATAGATTGGAAATTATGCTCAGACATTCATGACCTCCAGAAGATGAACCCTAACTCTGGAGATCCTATGACTTTTCTATTCGAGCCAATGATGGTTTTCAGTGAAATGTATTGGCAACTATTGGATAGATTTGCTTTGAAAATAGTCATGTTCCCCTGAGACAAACATTTAATAATGTTTTCTATTCTTTTAAAAACTCCCACCAGCCTCACCTATTGTGCCAATTAACAAATGTTAGCATGCTTTCACAATTAATTACTATTTAGAACATATTTTGAATGCTATCTGCATGTAAGCATAGCCATTGAGAGCTTTTTTGTGTAACAGCCTTAATCTGGACCCAAATTTCAACCCTACCATTCCATTGGGGACGCCGATAATGGTTAAATAATGTAATGAATATTAACATGGCTAAATAACAAAATATATTTATTTTTTGACCTTACCTCATGCTATAAATGACGTTTTTTCTAAATGTAATTGAATAGCATGGGAATTCTTGATGTAGGCTTATCCATTGAATTAAGTGCATTTCAAATGAAGATGCATTTATTACACTGATCTCAATATTATGGTATTCATCACCATGTTGCCCAACCCAACAGATGTAGCTGTCACCGGATTGTGAAGTGATTATCAGGATAAGACGTAGATGCAGTATATCATAGCTATTTCTGAGCAGAGTGTATTTTTAGCGACTATACCTTAGGAGCATTAGAGTTTAGTTGGTTCAGTTGTGGTCAAGTCCATCTAGCTGGTATGCAGCTCTGATTTAGTAAGTGTAAACTATTTTCCTAAATACTGAAACACACTGCTGCACCGTTGCTGTTAGGCTCACATTGTAAAACATGTTGAAACGAACATAAACACACATAATGACACACTATACATTTTCACTATAAAGCAGGTGCATTCAAAACAGGGGAACACTAAACAGTAAAGTGACATGTTAAAATAGTAATACTAGTCACATGTAAGTTAAAACAGGAAGGAATTGGGATTTGAGTGTGACTGTGTTCCTTGGAGAGACAGAAACACACACTCTCCTGTATCCAGGGCATGATTAAGTCTCCTTCAGCTCAGGACTCTTCTGAGGAAAATGGGACAGAGCCGCTGTGTTTAGAGACCAGCATTTCCTTTGCAGACGTCTCTGATCAACAGGAGACCTACTACTGGGACACGTGACCTAGTAAGACGCAACAAGAAAGTAGCGAGTGGTTTCTTTCTGATACTAATTTCATTATGAATGATAATGGGTGTTTTTGCTGACAGGTGGACACCATGAACTACGTGGGGCAGCTGGCGGGTCAGGTGCTGGTCACAGTGAAGGAGCTGTATAAGGGGATCAATCAGGCCACACTGTCGGGCTGCATCGACGTGGTGGTGGTCCGACAGCCCGATGGGACCTTCCAGTGCTCCCCTTTCCACGTTCGCTTCGGAAAACTGGGGGTCTTGCGCTCCAGGGAGAAAGTAGTGAGTGCTCCAATTTTGATGTCACAACAGTGAGGTCATTTCTAAAAATGTGGCCAAACATCCACTTGGATTAAACAATAAGCTGTTACGACACCGTTTGTTAATGCAAAATCTCATCAAGCATTGAGGCCATTTTTTTCAAGTTTACCACAAATATTTTCAGCCACAACTGGAGAATACTTACTCATCCTTTGACACATCCAGCAACATGTTGTATATGTTCATTCCACTCTGCTTCTCACAACAAGAGATGTTCCTCACTCTCTATTCTCAGACTCTGTGTGAGCTAAGGGCTACGGTGGGATAGACAGACTCAAGCTCAATTTAGCCTCTTATTCCCAGCACCTAGAGAATCATCCCATTCGAGATAAGCGTCTTACAGAGGGGTCTTTTCTTGCTGCAGGACACTGAGTGCAGGAAGTACACTTTTGTTGACGGAGAAAAAAAGGAGGTTAGGGATTAGCTTCATGAAATGTCCGCATTTTTGCTTTTCTGTATGTTTTTCTGTTCAACTCAGCCAGGCCAAGTCTGAGTTACACTCTGTCTGTCCAATACATGGATTACAACTTGTGGCATGTGCTGTCAACAGCCTTCTTACAAGCTGTTGTTTTCTCTCTCTGGCTTAGCTCTAATTCTTCCTTGTGGCACAGTTTGTTTTTATATGCATAAGCTGTGTTTCCCATGCATTTGGAGCTGTGAACAAACCTTCTCTGCTGAGGCCAGATGAGGACAACGTGGTGAACTACACACTGACTTACAGAAATGTGTCTGATTCTGCAGATTGATATACAAATCAATGGGGAACCTGTAGAGCTGCACATGAAGCTGGGAGACAACGGAGAGGCCTTTTTTGTCCGAGAAACAGAGCAGCACAACGTGAGTTCTGAACAGATTATGATACGAAAAAAAATGATTAAACCTGCTAAAGTAAATCCTTCCTTCATGTTAGCATTAGCTCAAAGCATTGTTGCGGCTAAGAACACACTCATTTTCTTTGTTAGGAGATAGTTCCAGCTCACCTGGTGACCTCCCCCATCCCCTCAGAAGAGGATCTGTTGAGGAGCAGAGAGCCCAGATGTGGGCTCACAGCGCTGGAGAACATTCCGCCTCTGAGTCCAGAAGACTCCACCTCTGGAAACCTCCAACCCTGCACCAACACAACCGGGAAGAAGAAGAGGAAACGCAGGAGGAAGCACAAAGCGGAGCCACGTAAGGAGGAGCAAAGCCCACCTGCAGGAGGGGAGCCGGAGCTGTGTGAGCTCAGTTCAGACGAGGAGCACACACACAACGGGTGGTAAGCAGACAGTTTAATATCACTTCTATGTGATGTGAACCTTCGTTAACGTCACTGTTTACTAACGTCCTGTCTACAGGCCATCTTCCCTCTCCGTGATGAAGGAGAACATGGACCACAGGCAGCCTTCCCCCCTCACCGCCCTCGAATGGGACAGCTACCCCTTCTCTGACGCCGAGTGGTCCCCTCGCACTACGTACGCACCCCCCAACTCTTCCCATATTTACATTGTTCATACAAGCATAAAGACACAATCCACTTTATCATAACATGCAGAGTGGAAACACATCCCTCCCACGATGCCATTACAGCTGACTCAGTGGAAATGTTGTTTGCTTACAGTAGGGAGATGTCGGAGCCCGTATCGCACAAGAGTGACTCGGAGCTGATGCTGAAGCCGGAAGAGAGCATTCTCAGGGCCGAGTCCCACATGCAGTGGACATGGGGAGAGTTCCCAGAATCCACCAGGGTAAGGCTAAGACCTAGGTTGCTGTTGTTTTATGCTTTATGAACGAGGACAACAGAGAAACATCTTTTAAAAGTTGAACAAACTCCACACAGCTCAGTGAAATGTTGACTTTATTTGATAATTTCAGTAAAAACTAACGTTCATATTTCTCTTTTTGATTATAATACTGATGAACGTTCAAAACAAAGCACTTTGGCAACTTACCACATACGTTTTAAAATGCTTAATAAGCACCGTAACTTCCATGATATCCTTTCTCCGTCATAATCGGTTGTTTCCGTGAACNGTCGGGGAGAGCATTCCACAAACTGGGAGCAGCCGAGCAGAAGGCCCGGTCTCCCATGGTACGGAGCTTAGTCCTGGGGGGTTTGAGGAGGTTGGAGCTGCTGGAGCGGTTGGTCCGCAAGGAGGTATGGGGGGTGAGGAGTTCCTTGAGGTAGGGAGAAGCAGTTCCATGGACACACTGGTGGGTGAGGACGGAGAACTTGAATTCGATCCTCAGTTCCATGCGTAGCGAGTGTAGTGCTTTAAGGATGGGGGTGATGTGTTCATATTTGCGCACCCTCATCAGGATCCTAGCAGCGCTGTTCTGAATGTATTGGANTTGTTTCCGTGAACGGCCGACTGTTGTGTGACGCAAATGCTGCGGCTGCAAGGCATTGTGGGGCAGCATTTTCTCCTCTCCTTTCGGTAAGGGAGGTCCAGTGGTTCCTAAGCTAAAGGAGGTTATAAAGGAAGTTTGAAACCTCCTTTCCTTTCATTTGGAGAATTGGAACGGCACTTATCATGGCTGCCACTGAGGGACTTCCGGGTCATTTCACTCCGTTAGGAAGGTTCCTAAACTAAATGGACTAGTGGACTGCAGCCCTAGCCTAGCAGGACTAAACTTTGGGAGACAATAATAATACATCATGTCTTCATTTACACATATTTGGCTAATCAGGAAAGATCTTTGGAAATGCATTTGTGTATATTTAAGCTTTATCTTGTGCTTTTTTTTCTAGGTCAACAAAAAGGACAAATCAGAGCCAAGGATGCTGACCATCACTCCCTCTGAGAACACACACTTCAGGGTTATCTTGAGCACTGAAGCCATGGAGGAAAGGGAAGAAGAGAGAACAACAGATCCCATTTGCAGTATAGTGAAGCCAGAGCCCCGCACCATCAAACCTGATCAGTGCAGCTGCTCCGCTCAGCGCCACGAAGCTCTGTCGGGAAACACAAACATGACCAGCCACAAAACAGACCTTTCAGATGTAATGTCCAGCAGTTTGACCTCGGGGCCGTGTCCCCCCAAATCTGACCTCAGCCCAAAGGCAGCCCACGCAATAAGGTGGAAGTCTTCGCCGCCGAGCCGCCGGGGCAGCGGGGGGGGCAACGTGGCTGCAGACTCAGCAGCTGCTTGTCCCGATTCAAGATCTAAACCCAGCGACTCCCCGGCCAAGAGGAGAGGTAACACACTTTTATAACTCTAATCTAAGGCAATTACAGAATATTTTTATTCTGCAGCAAGGACGTCTCAAGGGTATTTCAAATAGGTCTTTAGTATTCTTATTAGACATTTAAACATATATATATATATATATTTGTATTATGTGTCTTAAATGCTGTGCGAAAATCTTGAGATCTCCAGACAACATGAAGGTTCTCTACATGCACTTGAGTGGATGTTGACAGGAAGGAAGTGGTTTGTAGTTGCGTAGAGTTTACCTTCACACGTACAAGTTAAAGAAAAGGAAGTGAAAGGGAAAACTCATCTGAAATGTCTCGTCTTTGCTTTTCTAAAAAAAGGCGTGAGCAAGAGGAGCCAACACCAGGGCCCTGAAGATATTTACCTGGACGACCTGACTGCACTTGAACCTGATGTTGTTGCCCGTTACTTCCCCAAAAGGTACACAGAAGCATCAAATGGAAGCAGCTATTTATCCCACTCAGAGCTTCTTACTGTGTGAAATCAATTGGACCATGTGTGTCTTTGCAGTGACTCTGAGCAGGTTCCTAAGCTCTGGGTGGAGAGGGGCCGGCGCTCTGGGTCCCAGTCCCCCCAGTCTGTGGGCAGCGGCGCGGCAGACAGCGGCACCGAGTGTCTGTCCGACTCCGCTGCCGACCTGCCCGACGTCACGCTGTCGCTGTGTGGAGGCGTCGCAGAGAACTCTGAGATCCCTAATGGTACCTTGTCGTCAGTAATAGCAGTAATTATCAAATCCAAACTGATAAAACATGTTAACTTCTACATCTTGGTTAGAATCCCAGTGGGAACAGTCGGTTTCAGTCAGAAGCAGCAGCTGATTGAACTATATACCAGAAAGTTAAAGGCTATTTTTGTCATTTGAAAATTGAAGAAATAAACATTTATTGACTGCTAGCCTTGAAATACTTCCCTGGAATTGCATAGATGTACATGTGACGTGCATACACTTCATTCTTTTACCTGTATTTAGACATTTCTTTTCTCAAATCCTTATTTACCACATTAGTTTGTGTTGCTCGTTAGGAGAACACCACTAAATCCTATTGCTTGATTTTGTGACAAATGAACCGTTAAAACATTTGAAAGTGTTAGATGAGTATGGTGCCCTACATATTTTGGGTGCATGCATATCGAAATATGAACTATCATTTATAAAGAGCCTTATATGTTCCATTTATCGCAGAGAAATTCATGGAGCACATCATCACCTATAATGAGTTTGCAGAGGATCCAGCGATAATTGACAATCCCAATTTGGTGGTTAAAATTGGAAACAGGTGAGTTGTTAAGGTTCATTTAAGAACTCATGAATACCTAATAACATGTGCTCATCCCAGTTAATTAAACCCTTTGTTCCTCAGGTACTACAACTGGACCCTGGCAGCACCGTTGATACTCAGTATGCTGGCTTTTCAGAAGAGCTTGCCAAAGGTATCCTGTTTTCTACACTGTGTTTCAGTTTCCTCTCACTGTGAATAGTATCTGCACATAAGACATTTCTTTACACATGAACTGTTTCTCTGAATGGCAGGCTACAGAGGAGGCCTGGGTGAAGGAGAAAATGCCCAAAAAGTCTGGACGGTGGTGGTTCTGGAGAAAGAGCAGCGTGAAGGTCAGGGGGAATCCCTCACTGTTTTGTAACTTGTAAATGTCAAATGAGGAACAAATGTAAAAAAATGGCTAATAATAATAATGTGTCGTCTTTCTTCAGTCATCATCAGAGACCAAGCTAGAGACACAAGAGTCTCTACCGGGAGAGACTGCCCCTCTCCAGGCCCCAGAACCACAGTGAGTCAGCATCAAGCAGTACAGTCACACACCAACACAGCACTGTTGGGTAAACATGTCCCACAAAGGCAGGATTAGCCTGTTAGTCATTTTCTGACTCATAAACAAGCATTCAGGAGGAAGAACTGAAATGCCGTTTTGAATTAGGCAGCTGTAATTCACATTGTTATGTTGTTTTGTGGATGATGTGTACACAAACATTCTGCATATTCAGTGGACTACAAAGCAGAGATACAGGCATTAGAGGTCTACTGCCCTCTGGTGACTGGAAATGGTACTGCAGGGATTTCTTGTTAACCACACAGAATCATAAAAGTGGCTTTTTGTCCATGAAAGTGTGTTTGCGTCTGCAGGCAGAAAGCAGCAGAGAGGTCCAGCGACGATGAGACGGAAGAGCTGAGCGCTTTGACAACCGCTCCGACACCTACTGAGCATGTGCAGACAGAAGGCCCGACCGCGGCGCCTTGTCACTCCTACAAGAAGTCCCTCCGCCTGTCCTCTGACCAGATAGTAAGACCACTGATACTGGTAGTGAGGCTGCGTTTAGACAAAGACAGAAACCGTGTCATCAGTCTGCTATTTATCTGAGTGTGTATATTAAAGCTCAGTGAACAAAAGAGGGAAGAGGACATCTTTTATATCGCTGGTGTACAAAACAGTAGTAAACCCCAATTCTTCCAGGTGTATAATCTTCCTTTATGTGGTTTTCTATTTCCCGCAGGCCAGCCTGAAGCTAAGGGAAGGCCCTAATGATGTCACCTTCAGCATAACCACTCAGTACCAGGGGACATGTCGCTGCGAGGGCACCATCTACCTGTGGAACTGGGACGACAAGGTCATCATCTCTGACATCGACGGCACCATCACCAAGTACGAGAACGTCCAAATATCCACCTCTTCGTTATTTGATAGTGTTTATTCTCAGGCTTATTCCTTCTCATTCGCAATATTCAAAAGAGAGTTCTGACTGGTGTATTTACTCCACTGCTCCTCTTCTCCCCTCAGATCAGACGTGTTTGGTCACATTCTGCCTCAGCTCGGGAAAGACTGGACTCATCAAGGCATCGCTAAGCTCTACAACTCCGTGCACGAGTAAGATACACCCGGATTAATACTTACTGTTCAAATATGTCAATAAGTAGACGGGCTAATAAATATCCTCCTGCTGCAGGAACGGCTACAAGTTCCTGTACTGTTCGGCCCGAGCGATCGGCATGGCTGACATGACGAGAGGGTATCTGCACAGGGTGAACGACAGAGGGACCCTCCTGCCTCAGGGGCCCCTCATGCTCTCCCCCAGCAGCCTCTTCTCTGCCTTCCACAGGTGAGAGACCCTTTACCTCAGCGTTTATTCACAGACCGAGAAATTCATTTGAGCAGCTAAAGAGTGAATTTAGATGGAATTTAATGTATTTACACCGTTTTTATGTTCATTTTGATTTTTCTGTGTTTCTGTAACGTCAGCAGTGACATTTCAGAGGTTAAAGTGCGTCATCTTTATTTATTTTGTATTCTTTCGATAGAGAGGTTATAGAAAAAAAGCCGGAAAAGTTCAAGATCCAATGCCTCACAGACATCAAGAACCTGTTCCTCCCAAACACACATCCCTTCTACGCAGCCTTTGGAAACAGAGAAAGTGTAAGTGTGACATGTTTGTTGTATCATCTTCACTTCTTCAGGTATTTTACGTTCAGTTCGACTTATTGTCTCTTTCTCCTGTATTGAAGGACGTGTTTGCCTACAAGCAAGTGGGCGTGCCCGTGTGTCGGATATTCACAGTGAATCCCAAAGGAGAGCTAATCCTGGAGCAAGCGAAAGGCAATAAAACATCGTGAGTAGTACGGAGGCATCGATGGACTTTGTTTGTGTCTCTCAGCAGATTCCCTCAGGCAAAAAGCTCACTGTTCCCATCGCTGCTTTCCATTTCCCAGATACAGCCGTCTGAGCGAGCTGGTGGAGCACGTGTTCCCTCTACGCAGCTCCCAGCACAGCGCCACCTTCAGCTGCCCCGAGTTCAGCTCCTTCTGCTTCTGGAGGCAGCCCGTCGCCGAGGTGTGTTTAGAGGAGCTGCTTTGACTCAATCTGGGGTTCATATTTGAAATGAAGGAGGAATGGCTTCTAATATAAGAAGATTCTGGAATAGCTTGATATTGTCTTAGACACATTCCACTTTAAGTGAAAGAGTTTGGCGATAGGACCATGACGTCCATGTTTAAGACATCCAGCATCTAAATGAAGAGGTGTGTTTGAGGCTTTTGGCGTATACAAAAGCCAAAAGTCTCGCCATTCTAATCGTTTTTTTGTTAGTATAGGTAGATATTACCTAAGCACTGGTTTTGGCAGTGGAGGTGTTTAAACTGGCCACTGTTCAGTATGAAACAAATACTGATTGTATTTCTCTCTTTCCATGACTTGAGGGCGATCATAAAACATCCACGGTTATATTCATAGCAGCTATATTTGCATCCCTTTTAAGGCCTTACTCACTCTTTAGTGGCCTTATATCTCTGCTTACTAACTTTGCACAACGCTTCAAAGAAAACTGTGAAATGATTTAGTTAATAATTGCATTGCTGTAATTGAAAAAAGGAAGTCTTTATGCACTGTAGACGTTGATATATTGGTATGAAGTATATTTGCAAAGCCCAGATTGAATTAGATCATTATTAACTAATCTGTGATGTCGCCATGGTAAAACTGCAGAATATTAATGTTCTGCCTCTTCTTGTTTTGATCCTTTTCACGCTCAGTAACAGCTGAAAGGTGACGTTTTCTTTCTATGAAAGTGAAGAACTCTGTGTGAAGAGAACACACACTATACTGTATATCTGATTTTGTGGAGACGTAGCTCACGTTTCAGGGTAGAAACCTCTGCTTATGTGTTTTCTGTAGATCATGTAACAATGAGAGCACGAAGAATGTTTTAAATGACTGTTTTGAAGAAAAACAAGTGGACAAATACATTCAACAGTTTGCTTTGACAGTTATTTAAAGTAGTGTATATTGTGAATGCTGTATTAAATGTTAAATCAAATGACAGTGCCCTAATAAAAGCACAAGCTATATTTGAAGAAAAAAGCCTTTTTGCACATTTTTGACAATCTTAGCCGGTTTAGGATGTTATAGGTTATATCTAACAACAAACACTTTAATAGATTTCCTAAGTAAGTATGAACAAATCTGATCAACGGGAATTTCATTTTTACATGTTTTTAAATATTAAGAAACAAACTGCGGTGGACGGCAATACAATGTGTTAGAAACAAATATAACAAAAAAATGCAGTGTAAATGCTCTATATATTATTACTTAGGATAGAAATAATCTCATTTATTCAGACTATTTTTAACCTCTTTTAGAGTGTCTTTCCCTCCCTGATAATAGAAAATCACCATTAGCCTTAATATGTCCATGATATGATGAGGTGTCTTTAAAGAAGGCATGGCTACCGTTTGGAGGGGCTGCTGGGGTAAAGGAGCGTGGCGCTGAAAGATGACAGGATCTCAGAGGAGGCGGAGATGGCGAGTTTTCCCGCCGTCATGACGACTCCCGCTCGGTCTCCTCTCCTCAGCGGCAGCACCAGGCTCAGGGAGGTGGAGCTGCTGCAGGGACACTGGTCATGTGACAGAGGTGAAGCCGCTCCGGACAGGAAGCCGGTGGAGTCTAACTTCTGGACGCTGCGGTTGGACACGGAGAGGAACGCCTCCACCCTCTCCCCTCGCTGCGCCGCCAGCACGGCCGTCACCAGGTAGCGGCCGTCAGTGGGCGCTGTGAAGACTCCTGAGAACAACACACGATGATTTTTATGTCCACCACTTCAGATACAAATATTTTACCAACTGTTTGATGGATTCCCATGAAAAATGTAGTCCAAACATTATTCTATTAATTGCCAAACTAATGAACCAATAATCAGACATTTTAAATTATAAACTTGTGTGAAATGTAGCTTTATGTGTCTTTGTTTGGGTTGTGAGAGTGCAATCACTGTTACCTGTGTGAGCGTCATAGTGTCCGCCATCATTGAGCAGCACCTTGTCGAATCTAATGATCCCCTTCTCTCCCTGGAAGGGCTGCAGAGTCAGCCCGGCGGAGAACGACACCCTCTCATCTGAACACAGGAAGAAACATGAACTAACAGCCGTTACCCTCACAGCGGGTGTAACCTGAATATTTAAATCAATTCTGACCTGAAGCAGAGGCAGGTTTCTGGCGTGGCATGTTAACATCTGTGGAGAAAGAGAAAAAAGGTCATCCACTCGAAATTGTTGAGTTATTATGCAGCACAGAAAAAGGTCTAACAGGTATTTACCTAAGATGAGTGGCTTTCTTGTCCTAATGGGGTCAGGGGGTGCTGTGAAATAAAACACAAAGATGAGACACGTGGGATAATCCTTGGAAACATGCAGAGAATTAGTGTGAGTGTCTGACCTGGAGCGCCAGCGAAGCCCAGGAAAGGCATCATGCTGCCGTCCGTTCCCTTGGGCAGCTTGGACGAGGTCATCTTCCCGGGAGGTCCCGCCTCCCCGGTCTCCATCACAGGGGGCTGTGGGGGGGAGGCCTCAGGGGGCTCCAGCGGCCCTGTGAGGCTCTTACCTGCACCCTGGGGAAGTCCTGGGTCCTCCACTGAAACATGAATACCTGAAAGAGACAGATGCAGAGATTGATGAGGCTGCAGGCCAGAGAGACGCAGGCCAAAGGTGGAGGCCATTCACATGATGATGAGCCAGAGAGGCAAATGGCGAAGAAAAAAAAAGTTTGCTGTTTTAAGCGTGCTGACCTGAGATATAAAAGTGTCAGTCTTATTTCGTGCTGACTAATGGTAGGTGCAGGTTTCTGATTTAATGAGGGTTTTTTTTTAGGTCATATTAAACATTCATTTGTGCCAAGGAGGTCAAAAAGGGTTGAGAATAAATGTCCACCTTTAACACAACCCTACTTTTTTTTTTTTTAAATAACGGCATTTACTTGAGGACTTCTCTTATTTATTTTGGGTGGCACTGTCAATATTCTCATAGCAGTGCAATTTCCAGAATTGTAGCCATTAACACATATTGTCAGAATAATTGTTGGGGGAAGTATTCAGAACCTTTACCGAAATAAAAGTACTCACACCACACAGTAGAAGTGAAGTAGTAGAAGTGTACTTAAGTAAAAGGAGTAAAATACTCACCCGGCCCGGACACGGAAAGGATTGACAGATTGATAGCTCTTTCTCGTTAGTCGGTCGTCAGTAAAATATACTTAAAGTATTACATTTGAAAGAACTCAATGTAGAAAACAAAAGAAAGAAAAAACTCAGTTATTCTAATACCTTTTAGAAATTAACCAAATTTATAATACTAATTTTTAGACGAGTGTCTAATCATTTTGTTGTTAATGTAAAAACTGGTCGACAATTAAATTAATAATAAAACATATTTTTTTAAACGCTTGTGTATTTTATGCATACATCTTAAATATTACAGGAACAAGTAACTCGAGCTGTAAGAGTAATGTAATAGAGTAGAAATACAATATTGCCCTTTGAATTATAGTTAAGCACAAAGTATATACAGTAAAGTGGCCGACAAGTACCTTACATTTGCACTTTAAAACAATACTTGAGTAAATGTTCTCAGTTACAGGCCACCACTGGTCAGAGCCTCGTACAAAAACGTGATTACATTCTCTTTTGTATTTTCATGTTTCTTTATTGTTATGGTCTGGCTGCCAGTGACACTCATTAACAGCCACTCAGAGGGGGATTATCTAAACCTGTTATTACGGACTCAAACAGAGATAATGAAAGACCCCTGCCCATCTCCCATCATATGGTGACCACCTCCTCACCTCATGCAGCGCTGCATTCCTGAGAGCAGCAGCTGAGACCCTGCAGTTTATCAACACATCACAACACTGGCTGGGGGGCACACACTCTGGGCCACCACCAGACAACAGACACCACACCCCCACCCTCCAATAAAAGGCATACCAAGACACGGCCACATGTTCAATCACCAGACAGCCTGCCCCCTCGGCCCGGGGAGAAGAAGGGTCATTTAGAATGGAAGCCTGTATAACACAGCATGTGGAGAGGGACCGGTGTGTGTGTGTGTGTGTGTGTGTGGGGGTAAGTCTGCGTGTCCGCACATGTGCATGGTTTGATGGTCGTGGAGTCTTTTAATGTCAGGATTCAAAACTGATTTCAGAGCAGGAGGATAAAAGAGGCACACAGGATGTATGTCCGTACGCCAGAGTGTTTGTCATGATGAAAGAGGTGGACTATAAACACAAGCAGCTGGCCCTTCTGAAAAGACGCACGCTCCCAGCAAAGCGGCATGGGAAAACCTCGCTCTGTTAGTCACTTAAAACCC